CTCATGGTTTTGGACAACATACTAAGACATTTTCTCATGGTTTTGGACGACATACTATAGTATGACTTTTTTTCATGTTTTGGACGACATACTATACTATGACTTTTTTTTGAGGGATGCACCGAAATGAAAATTTGTGGCCGAAGCCGAATAATATTAAACGCTTGGCCGAATACTGAGTACCGAATACTGAACAGATGAACCCCCTCCAGATTAGTGTTGTCACGGTACCAAAATTGGATCCCACTGTACGATACCAGTGAAAATATCATGGTTCTGAATAGTATCGCGATACCACAGCAAAAATGAGGCAGATGTGCCTTTTGTCATTTATAAAAAGATAAATCACATTTCTATAATACATCAATGATATTTCAATGGAATAAATTACTTATTGACTTATTCATACTTCAAAAACAGCATCAATAAGTGATTAACATGGGGGGGATCAAAATAAAATAAATAAATAAAATAAGAATCAACCAGCCACCCTCCTCCCCTGACAAGTCCCTTCATAAGTAAAGAACAGTCCCTGAAGTGCGGTGAGGTTTGTGGGCCGTGAATGGCTCGTTTATCCTCTGACACGTCACATACCTGTGTTCAGCTGGCTCGGCTGTTCAGGTACTTTTGGGCAGTCATGACGACAAGAAGAGGAAATTATTGGAACCGACTTATCCATCGCCAGTAAGCCAATGGCCGCCGTATTTGACAGGAATACATTAACGTTACTGTCTGTGTCTGTGACCCCCGTTCAACCCACAACCGATGGGATTCGCCTTTCGTTTCTGCTGGTGGTTGAAATCTGTAGGCTGCTCGCACAGCGTGCTGAATGATTTAAGCCTATTTTGCTCGCTCAAAATTATTTTTAGTCGCAAATGCAAGTGTGGTGACGGGCGGCTCGCCACACTGCCGACATTTTACTCAGCCCGTCACGACACGCTGTTTGATTGCGTTATCAAAACACGCCGCTATTATTCGGCCTTGCTTTTAACTTATTCCACCAAATACAGAATGTGTGTTTTTTGCAATATTCGGCCGAATATATTCGGTTACTGAATATTCGGTGCATCCCTATTTATGGTTTTGGACGACATACTATACTATGACTTTTTTCATGATTTGGTACAACATACTTTATGTGACATTTTTTCATGGTTTTGGAAGACATACTATACTGTGACAATTTTAGCATGATTTGGGACGACATACTACAATATGACTTTTTTTCATGGTTTTGGAAGACATACTGTACTGACTTTTTTATGTTTTGAGAGGACATACTATACTATGACATTTTTTCATGATTTGAAACGACATACTATACTATGATTTTTTTTTTGTTTAGAGACGACATACTATACTATGATTTTTTTTTTGTTTAGAGACGACATACTATACTATGACTGTTTTTTCATGTTTTGGATGACAAACTATACTATGACTTTTTTTCATGGTTTTGGACGACATACTATACTATGACATTTTTTCATGATTTGAAACGACATGCTATACTATGATTTTTTTTTTTTGTTTAGAGACGACATACTATACTATGACTGTTTTTTCATGTTTTGGACGACATACTATACTATGACTTTTTTTCATGGTTTTGGACGACATACTATACTATGACAATTTTAGCATGATTTGGGACAACATACTACAATATGACTTTTTTCCATGGTTTTGGACGACATACTATACTATGAAAATTTTAGCATGATTTGGGACAACATACTGCAATATGACTTTTTTTCATGTTTTGAGACGATATACTGTACTATGACTTTTTTTCATGGTTGTGGACGACAAACTATACTATGACTTTTTTTCACGTTTTGAGACGACATACTATATATGACATTTTTCATGATTTTGGAAGACATACTATACTATGACTTTTTTTCATTGTTTTGGACGACAAACTATACTACGACATTTTCTCATGGTTTTGGACGACATAATATACTAAGACATTTTCTTATGGTTTTGGACGACATACTATACTATGACTTTTTTTCATTGTTTTGGACGACAAAATATACTGTGACTTTTTACATGGTTTTGGACGACATACTATACTATGACAATTTTAGCATGATTTAGGACGACGTACTACAATATGACTTTTTGTCATGGTTTTGGAATACATACTATAATGACTTTTTTTCATGTTTTGAGACGACATATTATACTATGACATTTTTTCATGATTTTGGACAATATAATATACTTTGACTTTTTTTCATGGTTTTGGACGACATACTATACGATGACATTTTCTCATGGTTTTGGACGACATACTATACTATGACTTTTTGTCATGTTTCGAAACGACATACTGTACTTTGACATTTTTTCACGATTTGAAACGACATACTATACTATGACTTTTTTCATTGTTTTGGATGACAAACTATGACATTTTGGTCACGATTTTGGACGACATACTACAGTATGACTTTTTTTCATGGTTTTGGACGACATACTTTACTATGACATTTTTTCATGTTTTGAGACGACACTATACTATGACTTTTTTCATGGTTTGCGACGCCATACTATACTATGACTTTATTTCATGTTTCAAGACTACATACTGTACTATGACTTTTTTTCATTGTTTTGGATGACAAACTATACTTGACTTTTGTTCATGGTTTTGGACGACATACTATACTATGACATAGTACCATGAAAAATGTTATAGTATAGTATTTCGTCTCAAAACATGAAAAAAGTAATAGTATAGTCTGTCTTCCAAAATCATGAAAAAAGTCATAGTATAGTGTGCTGCCAAAATTATGAAAAATTCTCATAGTATATCTTCCAAAACCATGAAAAAATGTTACATAAAGTATGTCGTGCCAAATCATGAAAAAAAAAAAAATCATGGTATAGTATGTCATCCAGAAACCATGAAAAAAGTCACAGTATAGTATGTTGTCTCAAAACATGAAAAATGTCTTCGTATAGTATGTTGTCCAAAATCATGAAACAAAGTCATAGTATAGTATGTTGTCTCAAAACATGAAAAATGTCATAGTATGTCGTCTGAAATCATGAAACAGTCATGGTATAGTATGTCGTCTCAAAATATGAAAAAAGTCATAGTATAGTATGTCGTCCAAAACCATGAAAAAAAGTCATAGTATAGTGTGTCGTTTCAAAACATGAAAAAATGTCATAGTATAGTATGTCGTCCAAAACCATGAAAAAAGTCATAGTATAGTATGCTGCCAAAATCATGAAAAAATGTCACATTTGTATGTCGTACCAAATCATGAAAAAAATGTCATAGTATAGTATGTCATCCAAAATCATGAAAAAAAGTCATAGAATAGTATGTTGTCTCAAAACATGAAAAAGTCATAGTATGTCGTCTCAAAATATGAAACAAAGTCATAGTATATTATGTCGTCCAAAACCATGAAAAAATGTCATAGTATAGTATGCTGCCAAAATCATGAAAAAATGTCACATTTGTATGTCGTACCAAATCATGAAAAAAATGTCATAGTATAGTATGTCATCCAAAATCATGAAAAAAAGTCATAGAATAGTATGTTGTCTCAAAACATGAAAAAGTCATAGTATGTCGTCTCAAAATATGAAACAAAGTCATAGTATATTATGTCGTCCAAAACCATGAAAAAATGTCATAGTATAGTATGCTGCCAAAATCATGAAAAAATGTCACATTTGTATGTCGTACCAAATCATGAAAAAAATGTCATAGTATAGTATGTCATCCAAAATCATGAAAAAAAGTCATAGAATAGTATGTTGTCTCAAAACATGAAAAAGTCATAGTATGTCGTCTCAAAATATGAAACAAAGTCATAGTATAGTATGTCGTCTCAAAACATGAAAAATGTTATAGTATAGTATGTTTTCTTGAAATATGAAAAAAGTCATTGTATAGTATGTCTTCCAAAATCATGAAACAAAGTCATAGTATAGCATGTCGTCCAAAACCATGAAAAAAGTCATAGTATAGTATGTCGTCCAAAATCATGAAACAAAGTCATAGTATATTATGTCGTTTCAAAAGCATGAAAAAATGTCATAGTATATTATGTCGTTTCAGAATCATGAAAAAATGTCATAGTATAGTATGTCGTTTCAAAACATGAAAAAAGTCATAGTATAGTATGTCGTCCAAAATCATGAAATAAAGTCATTGTATAGTATGTCGTCCAACATCATGAAAAAATGTCATAGTATAGTATGTCGTTCCAAAACATGAAACAAAGTCACAGTATAGTATGTCGTCCAAAATAATGAAAGAGAGTCATAGTATAGTATGTCGTCCAAAACTATGAAAAAAAGTCATAGTATAGTATGTCGTCCAAAATCATGAAAAAATGTCATAGTATAGTATTTCGTCTCAAAATATGAAAAAACAGTCATAGTATAGTATGTCGTTTCAAAATCATGAAAAAATGTCATAGTATAGTATGTCGTCTCAAAATCTGAAACAGAGTCATAGTATAGTATGTCGTCCAAAACCATGAAAAAAAGTCATAGTATAGTATGTCGTCCCAAACCATGAAAAAAAGTCATCGTATAGTATGTCGTCCCAAACCATGAAAAAGTCACAGTATAGTATGTCATCTCAAAACATGAAAAAGTCATAGTATAGTATTGTCGTCCAAAACCATCAAAAAAGTCATAGTATGTCGTTTCAAAACATGAAAAAATGTCATGTCATAGTATAGTATGTTGTAAATTTTAATGGCACACTGAAAACGTGACTGTTTAACTAAATTTTGTGTAGCATGAGAAATAAACATCATCATTCTGTGGCATCTCTATGATCAATGACTGGTTTAAGCTCTTCACATTGGGTGCATATGTACTGAATACACTGGATAGTTTGAGCCTAACTCTTCCATCTGAGTTTCATTTTATTTCATCATCTAATTTATCGACTGTCAGTCGAGCTGTCAGAGGGTTTGATTCTGTTCTTGAAGATGCAAAAAAAAGAGGCAGACAGATTTTGTGTTGATATCTTTATATTGAAATTCATGAAGTATACACAATGCATCCTACACTATTACAATTTCCACACTTTGATAATGTTTTTGTTGTTGGATGATAAAGCTACGTTTTGGCATTTATTTAACCAAACAGCAGTCTGACTGAGAAGCCTGGAGCAAAATAAACATAAAACATCGTTGTGGATTAAACTGTAGCGTGGCAGCAGGTTGGTAGGTACAAGTAGGCAACATTAGTTAAAGTTACAGAGTAGAAAATCATAAACAAAAACTCAATATTCATTTTTTAATGCTGTTATGTACAACCCAGTGCCTTTAGAGGAACGGCCCTTTACTTCATCTCGACCTTTCCTCTGACATCACCAATAGATTTCAGCCTATCAAATTCCACCCTTCAAGTTAGATGCAATTTACTTTAACTGTTCATGTTAGGCTGGCGAAAGAAATAAGCTTTCTGCAGTCTAATATGATCAGTAGTATGAATAGAAATTGGAATATTGTTGAACAATCTTTCTAGTCAGCTAAATATGAAAACACACATACACAACCAAGCACTTTTTAAACCCCCCGTCCCCTCTGGACTGATTTAGAGTCAGTTTGGCCTCTGCTTTGACCTCTGATGACGTCTGCAGTCCTGCATCTGACAGTGTAACTGCTGTGATACTGATCCACGCTGTAAGTGCAGAGTTTCACTTCTGGCAGTTGACTGTGTGTGTGTATATATTTATGTGTGTGACTTTCCTGCCTCCACATTCACAACAGTGTGAGTGTACACACTCAATAACCACTTCAATATTTCAACCCTCTCAGCACTGGGTAACATCTGCTTTCGCCTCCTCAACTCATTGAATTCTTTGAGGCTTGAATTCATGAAACTGTTTCACAGGGATTTTGCTCCACACCGGTTCGATAAAGTCGATCAATTCCTGCAGATTTTTTGGAAGCCACAAGATGCTTGTGCCGCGGTTATCCTGTTGCGGTTATCCTGTTCCACCTTATCCCAGAGGTGCGCTTCTCTCATGTTGCTGGATCTATCTCAAGATGATGCTTTGTCACACAGCCAAGAGGAGATGCATCTGGACAGTAACAATGCTCTTGGACACTGTGGCATTAAGGAACCCCGTCGCAGGAGCCAAGAAAACACTCTCCTCATCATTACAGCACAGTCTACCTTTGACTTAACACTGTGTACATGCTTTTCATGCCAAGTCTGACTCTCACATCATTTGCTGCATCATGTAGCATTTTCCAATCATCAATCACCGTCTGTTGCCTCATCTTCTTGGTCTTAGCTGTCGGCAGGGGACAGGAAAGACAGCCAACATTCAACAAGTCGTGCAGACACTGAACTTATCTCTGTCCTTGTGGCCTTCCTGTTAGTTTTAAACATCTTCTCTCACAGATGAGGCGTGCTTTTTGTCTTTGCTGCTGACTGCATTGCTTCTGTTTTCCCCTACATCCTGCGTCATCAACGAGCACCAATAACCACACTATCACTCAGATCCAACATCTTGCCCTTTCTTGCCTTGTCTGCATGTTTGGAGGACTGTATGACCACTTTAACAAGCAGGGATCCCTAATAAAGTGGCCACTGAGTGTTGAAAATGCCGGCCACCCTGCTCAACAAATTATCAACCATGACCCTGCCAGTCACAGTCAAAGGTCACAGATCAGTTGGCGCCGCAGAGTTTGGACGGGGGTTTAAAGATGTGTTAAAGTGCAGCAGGAATTACGACGTCTGTGCATTTGTGTGCGGTTTTCATTTGACTTTACACTTCCCCTAAGTGATGTTTATGGTTTGTAACAAGCATCGCACCACTCTGGGGTTTAACAGTGTTGTAACATACATACACATACTGTATAGCACATGCAGAGGTTTGCATGATTTGGAGCATTTTTAGTTTCTTTGTGCTGGGACATCCAAACCAAACAAACCTCAGGCATGATTTAAGTCTGAAATTGGATGTGAGGAAAGTTATGTTGCTGTCGGTGATCACAACAGCTTTAATGCTTCTGTCCTTGCTGTAAATTATATATTCATATCCACTAGTATCATCTTTATCGACCTTCAGATCAAGGCTTTGTCAGCAAACTTTTCTTTAGCATCATTCATATACACATTTAAACATTAAAGGAAACTAGACAACCGGGGAATTTTTTCCCCTCTTACATGCATGCACACACTCATAACCTTAGTGCTTTATCCTTCCCTTGGACTTCCACACGCTGTCTCGCTCTTTCTATTATACACACATCTTATTTCAGTCAATTATTTAAGCATTCAAACACATTTTTTTCAGTCTCACACACATGAACACATACACCTCACAGTCAACACAAAACAAAAAAAAACATGCATCCTCACACACACACATATGCTCATTACATAAGCACATTCATGTACATACATAGAAAAAGAAATGTATTGTTCAACGTAAATTAGAAAAAGCTCAGTTTTGAAAAGGCGTCTATTAGCTCTCGTACCTAAAACAAAAGTTTTACAGGGACTGGTTGGTTTGTGCCAGTAGTTTAGAGGGGAGCACGCAGAGCAGTCAGGAAGGACGGAGTGTTTTCTTCTCTATCCCGTCAGGACAGCAGCAGTTCAGATGTCCTACCTTCCCTCTGCGGGTCTTTAATATCAGCAGTACAAAGACAGAAATTAATGAAGCATTTCTTTTTTTTTAATGCTTTTTTTTTCTGTGACCGGTGGAAGCACATTGTGTCTCTGGGGGAAAGTGGTACCGTTGTACTTCATCTTACATTTGTCAACCCCTTCTCATCAGCACGCTTGGCTGTAGTCATTCGGGGTGAAGAGGAGAATAAATGGATGGGGGTAATTAGATCGGGGTTGGTGGGAACAGGGAAACATGAGGACATTCTTGATTAGAGGAACAAGTAACATAGTCTGTAGTAATGGTCATCCTGGGATTTAACGGTCAGTGTTCAAGTTATGGCCCGGTGGGTTAAGTTAGGCGCCCAGAGGTTTCAACGTGGTGAGTAGCACTGAGCTCCAGACATGGTCTGGGTAAAACCGGATGATGGTGTTATCAGGTTAGGTGGTCTCCTTGCCCTGGGTCCCAGTGACGGTCTTGATAGAGCTGAGCGTTCGGTTGAACCAGGTCTTCTTGGCAGCCTGCACTTCGTTGAGGGCCAGACCCAGATGGTGCTCCAGGTCCTGATTGAAAAGGAAACAGAACTATCATGATTCATGATTACTATCACAAAACACAACAGTTGAAACTAGTCTGCCAATAAACACAGGGTTCCTACAGCTTAAGGCAAGTTAGATTTAAGACCTTTTTTTTGTTGGTAATTTTGTGTTTCTCACTCAGCATGTGGGAATCCACTGCCCCGATTCACAGTGACGAGTTTGAAAAACTTCTAGCGTAAAAAACCCCAAGCCTCGTATACATTGTCTTGTATCTGTTTCAGCCATGCCACAAAATATTTTTTAAATAGCCAATGTTCATTAAATTTGCACTACCCCGGGGTCGTCCAGGGTGCAGTGACAACTAGCTAGCAGACACTGGATCCCCTGCCTGTCTGGCAGCAGAGGTCTGGGTGCTGGCAGCAGCATGGGGACGAAGCCAAACATGGTTCATCTGCACACACTGCGGTGGTGGTTCACTTTTACACTGTGATCTGTAGCCTATAGTTCAGCTTTAGCTTCTAACTATCTTTGTCTTTTTAACCTGTTGTTGCTGCAGAGTCAGTTTGACATCCTGGATATATCCTTCAAACACAGACTGTAGACCCCTCTGTCTGCTTCTCTCTGGAATCACTGTTTCATTTGTCCAAAAATATAATAATATTTCTTCAGGGAGTGCAGTTAGTTACAGTGTGGGCTCCATGCTTACTCTGACAGCTTGTTGGACCATCACAAAGGGACAGGACTTAGCGAAAGGTCAATTAAGGCCTTATTTTTCGATTAATTAATTCAGTGCCTTTAAGACTTTTTAGGGATCTGCAGGAACCCGGAAATAATAATGTAAACAGATTTCGGCTCTGCTGCTTTCCAAGAGTCAGGCCTCTAATCTAGTATCTATTTAACCACTTTGCCTTTCCTCAGTCAACAACTTTGATCCCATTTCCCATCCCACTCCTAGACACCATTCATCATACGAAATCCTCATCTTTCTTTTTTGACATTAATCCTGATAAGCTCCTCACTGAGATCCTTGTTGCAGTTGGTCAGAAACTTTCATTGTAAATAACTTGATACACTTTAGTCTCTTTTTAAGAAGACAAATCTCCTGTTATTCCTAATCGCACCAATTATTTCCACACTGTTTAATTACAGCAACTGTGCTCACATATACTTTTGAAATATTCCAACTCTTTAAAAGCTCCCCGCTTTAATAAGACTGCTCTCTTCTGTTTAATGCTCAATGCTGCTTGAGACACTGTTGATTACAGTAATGTCATCAATCGTTTATAAAATTCAATTAAATCGAACTTAATAATAACACTCCCAATTTCTTTAACCATATCTTATAACAAGCTAATTTTCTGCTTTTTCTGATTTGTGGAGCCTCTGCTGTCCTGGTAATTCTGTCCTGTGGCACTCATCAAGCGTTGACATAGTCATTGAGTGTAGAAATATGACCTCCCCTTTAATAGCTGTGCAGGTGACACACTTATTAACATAAAAACAGGTAGCCTAGATATTAAAAACTTCCCCTATCGAATTGACTGGACTGACTGGAAGTGATCTAGAATAATAAAGCCAGCAGTACTTTCCAAATTAAATTGACCTGGATATGTTTTTAAAGGCTGTCAAAATAGATGACTCAAAGTATGCAAGTCATGATGGGACAAGAGCTCGTATACTTCAAGTGATAATGCAACTCAATAGTTCAGTTGTAACTCACACGCTCCTCCAGCATCAGTGGGGTAAAACAACGTGATGAGGAAATCCCTTGTATTCATAAACATTCTTATGCATCTGTAGTTTTATTTGGGCTAAAACTGTGTGTCAAGTGTACCTGGATCTTGCACTCAGCTTCCACCAGCTGCAGTTTGGTCTGGGCTAGTTCCAGCTCCATCTCTCTCAGCTGGTTCTTCAGTCCCTCCTTCTCCTCATCTGTCTCCTCAGTCCCCCCAGCAGATGCTGTGGTCACAGCGGCCCGCACTCGACCTTCTTTGTTAAAGAGACTACTGCACTTCTCACAGCCTTCCACTTTGGACTAGAGAAGGATCAAAAAGAAAAAAAAGGTTGGAGAAAAGGCATTAAGTGACATCTTGATCCCAGTCGTTACACCTTACAGCTTGAGTAGAGTAAAAGCCATGAGAGAGAAAGGCAGAATGATGTGGGGGGTAAAGGAACAATGAAAGAGAGATTACAGGTTAGCAGCCGACACTGTTACAAAAAACTCATTATACTTGGAACCAAGCTCCAAGAGCAGGACGTTTTTATGGCATACTTCACTATGACTTAATGGGGGGGATAAATTTGCATTTTCCTGAGAAATATTAATGAGTATGGGGGCATGTGTGTATTGCACATTTTGTATTTATTTTCAACTGTATATCTATTTTCATCATTATTATGATGTTGGCACATATGTTCATAGAAGAACACAGAACATATTAAGAAAAAGCATGTATGTATCTTTCAGGACCTTTGCTTTGCTCAGAGGGAACAGCAATCATTCAGATTCATCCAATAACCCAAGTATAACGATGCCAAAGTTATGTTCATAAAATAACACAGAAAGAAAATGCAAATGTGTATCTGTCAGGACCTTTACTTGGCTCAGAAGTGTATAGCCCTACTGTAGATAGCAGCTGCCCTCTGGTTTGACCATGGTCTATCACCTTTCTTGGGACAATGCAAACTTTTTGGAAGAAAAAGAATACGTTTTTCGAGAATATACAAAAGTATAAATCTTTTTTATCATCCAATATTTTTTTTAGCAGCTTTATCTTTTTTGACATACTATACTATGACTTTTTCATCACGATTTTTTTTTTTTTTTTTTTGGGCATACTATATGGTAACCTTTTTTATGACATACTGTGATTTTTTTGTCAAACTTTACTATGACATTTTATTGTTTACTACGCCATGACTTTTTTGATATATTTATTATATGTTATTTTTAAAAAATGGGCACACTGTAATATTTTACAATGACAAACTACATTACAAACATTTTTTTGCCATACTGTTGCATACTGCACTGACTTTTTACAATCACATACTTTTTTTTTTTTCTTTCATTTAAGCCACGCTATGCTACAACTTTTTAATATTTTTATGACATAGGAAAAATCTGGCAAATGATACTATGACTTTTTAATGTCATTTTTTATGACAATGAAATTATTTGGCAAACTGGACTATGATATATATATTATAAAATAATTAGCCACACAATAATAATAATTTTTTTTGGCATTTACTATCACATTTTATTGATTACTACACTGACTTTTTAATGACATTTTTGTGACATTTTTTGGGCAAACTATACTATGACATTTTTTATAACATGATTTTTTTTTAATAATATACTGTATTATATTATATTTTACTGACCATACCATATTGTGACTGTTTTTTTAAAGTTTAGACCAGCAGAGGATGTAATCCTGTGAGGTGCCCTGTCTGTCTTTTTGCAGTAGAGATATTTATATAATTTGAAAAGACACAGTGCTCTGCTTAGTTACTGAAGCATGGCAGCTCATTAGTGTAGGAGCAGTACAAACCAACTATGCTTTCTCTCTTCTGTCAGGGCTGCACTCCACCCTGCCCTTTTGTCAAAGAGCTCTTTTTGGGTGCCCTTGTATGTGATGAGCTATTATTGGGTGCAGAGCATTTGTGCAAGCAGCAACAGAAAATCACTGCGAACACAGCTATACTGTCTGTGCCGCAATACAACACCCCATTAAGGTGCTTCTACTTGTTCGTTTTCCAGTGTTAACTCATTTAAGTACCTAACACCAAGGGAATGTGACGTTATTTTTGCCAGACGAGCCAAGCTATTCTGGAGGTGTTTGAAGGTGTAAAAATACTGAGCCCCAACCTAATCCAAGATAATACAACTGCAGCTCAGATACATATGGGCAAATGATAGTTTAAGTGTTCTGCTTTACCTGCTCTTTCCAAGTTTGGCTCATGGCTGCCAAACGTCCTAACGGCAGTGCAGGCTGGGTACTGTTTAGTAGGTTGACTCCTCTGAGGCCATTGCAGATAGATTAGTGCCTTATCTTGCAATAACAAGCAACAGCACCTCAGCTGAAAGTCAAGGTTGTGTTCCTTAGCAACAATTGACTCCCTTAGTTGAGATATTCCCTCAGAATTAATATTTCATAACACTATTACACGTAATTTGGATTAAAATGTCAACTGAGTTTAAAGCTGAATAGTGATTATACATCATGTTTCCAGGCTCATCACTGGAGAAGTGAATGAGTGCATTAATGAAGCAGCAGAGTGCCCGAGCTGAAATTGTTTCTGTCGTCACTTTAAATAGAGTTTTAGTGAATAAGTATGTCAGTATATTATTTAAACATTTCTAATTAAAACTGTTGTAACTTAGTTATATATATTATTCACTGCACATCACTGTTCCCCTACATCACTTATAATTATGATTCCTGACATTTATATTACATTTGCTGCACTATTATTAGTAAATAATAAAACGGAGAATATTACAGTCATAAACAAGATGACAGACTTGCAGACATTTACATCTAACACACACACACAAAGCAGCCCTGCTCCATCCTTTACAGGACTTGTCCTTGGTGCAATAAACCTGTTTGTCTGTCTTTTTGTGAGTCCTTGGGCAGCCCCGACAGAGCTCCCTGCCAAACTGGCCTTTCTCCCAGCTACAGTCTAAACAAACAGTTCACCAGCCAAGTGTGCAAGAGCTGGAAGTAAGATGCCTGGCCCCGGCTCCTTGGCCTAACTCCTCATTCTTTCCCCCAAAGCTTTGATTTCACTGCCAGGCAGGACAATGAGATGGCAACACAGTCCCCAGCATACCTGCAAACTGAGAGATCTTAACTGCAGTGTGCATTTCAAGCTCTGGAGGTCTATATGGACCTAACAGCTGTATTTATTTATATTGTTGAGTGTTGTTATCATTGAGCGTAGTGACACTGCTTCTAAAACTGACCTTACATCATCTTTGATACATGTAGAATACATACATGAATGAAGCTCTGTAGAATATATCTGTTGGGCATTTCCACTCTAAGTCTACACTTAATGAGACATTTTGCTCGTAATCTATTCCTTGTGATCTTGTTTATCTGCTTATCTGTGGCAAAATTGGCAATAATAGTGGAAATAGAGTGACAAATTCACCTGAAGTTCTATGAGAAGTGAGCAACCTCATCATGATAGTGGTTAATATAGACAGACATCACTGGCTATGTTTACATGCACAAAATATTCTGCTTTTGCCCTTATTCCAAAAAAGACAATATTGCTACTAAGCTGTTTACATAGCTAATGAAAATTAATATTCCACTAATATTCCTGTTTACGTGCAGCCATGCATAATCCAATTAATGGGCCTTAGCATGTCATTTATCACATCAAAATATGAAAAGTGGGATGGCTGTTGTTTGTGCCATTTCTCTCTTCGCCTAAAAGCAGGATTATATTTGAAGTTTTCTTACTGGTGGCTGGCTTGTTTGACCATGCAAACACAGCCTCCCTCTTTCATGCCTTCAACCACCTTCTCGGCGTTGCGATATACGCACATATCCAAAAACCTGCTTATATCTAAGTCTTTCATTATGTTTAAAAGAAGGCATGTTTCTCCTTCCAACCAGAGATCTAGGCTTTTCTTTAGGGCATTCATCTCTACCCCACAGCCTTGCAAACTGCTGGAGAGTTGGTTTGTACAGTGTATCCTTGAAAACGCACAGAGCTGACTGTAGATGGGCAAGAGGCCGTGTGTTGCAAACTGAGGTAAAAATCCCAATTGAAATGTATATTACAAATGTGCTGTATACATTACCCCCTTTACACCTTGCATTAACATGCTTTTTTTTTGTGATCAGACTGCAATCATATTACTCTTGACCACATGAAAGCACAGGTGTTAATACACTCGAAACACACTGTTCACATCTGATCTGCCAAACCACTTCTGAAGGTGGTCAGGGACGCATTGTGACCACATCGAACACAAGTGTAAATGCAAATGTGTCTCCAATCCACATGCAACAACTCCGTGGGCGAAAATACGTAAGTGGGGCGCGCTGGCTGGACACAGGAAGAAGGCAGAAGACAACAACAACCTTCACCGGATTTGGTCCGACAAAATTGTCCATACAATAACACGACTTTACGGGCGGCTAGTATCTTGTTGTTGTTATTGCTGCGGCGCACAGGTTATGACATTGTAGTCTGCTGCTGGATATGTTTGCAGAGGAAGAAGAGGAGGAGGATGTGACGTCAGCGTGATGGAGCATGATCGGATAGCAAACGGATCTGGATGTGGACACCAGAGATGCATATTAATACCAGGTATAAATGTATGTGGTCAAGGGCTATCCGACTGCAATCCAATCGCAAAAAAAAGCATGTTGATGCCAGGTGTAAAGGGGGCCTCTGAGTCCAAAGAGTACTTCTAAAAACCTGATACACAGGCACATAGGATACGTCTTAATCAATAAATGCTGCATTGGGAATATTCCTAATTTGGAATATCCAAACAGAATATGCTCTTTACATGACCAGTGTCAAATCTAATGTTGTCATATTTGAGATAGTAGTGGAATATTATTGAGCATGTAAACGTATTCATTGTTACCCAGCTTCATCTGAGCTCTAACCCAGCTGTAGGTGTAAATCAACCTGCATGTGACAAAGACACATAATAGTACACGTACATTTGTCTCCAACAGCACAGCTCTGTTATTATGCTCCATTTATAGACCGGGCTGCTAATCTACAGCATGTGTTTTAGGGCACACAGCAGTGTTTTGAGTTGTGCGCGTTTGTGTGTGAGATTTACCCGGATTTTCTCCAGTTCTCCTCGGTTGGCTGTCTGTTGTTTCTCCAGTCGTTCACTCAGCTGAGAGCAGATCTGTATGAGGCAGAGACAGTTGTTCAGAAAGTGTGTTCATTTACAGCACTTTCAAACAGAAACACATAATACAGATGTGTGTGTGTGTGTGTGTGTGTTTGTGTGTGTGTTAAATGAACTAAAAGTATTAAATGAATAAAAGGTCAGATGCCAGGAAAAAGCATTCGGAACTTTTTTCTAATACTCTTCATATACACTATCTGCAAATTTTATCACCCATCATTTCCTTCCACCTCAAATGCTTGTAGTCCAGTAGAGCCAGGACGTAATGGGACGAGGGAGTACTAATGTGTATCAGATCTAGCCAAATCCCACTAGCAAGGTGAATTGTTCCACTGAGAAAGACCATAAACTTATTATTTATTTGCTTTTTTGATGTCTGCCTCTCCTGACCTTACCACTGCGCACAACCTGTGTTTCTCCCTTGATGGTGTTTCTTGGTTAATCAGTCTCTCTGGCCGAGTCTTCATCCTCTTACAGTTAAGTTCATTAGTGGTGCCATGAGGTCATGTCCTGCAGAGCTCATCGGATGTACACGAATGAGTATGCATGTCCAATCCTCACATATGCTCAGTCTCTTTTTCTCCTCTATCTATACCTATAACCCACAGCTACAAGCACACTGACAGACATACAAACACACACACACCCACACACTTGTGCTCCAGCTTGCCGACGAACAGAAAGATCGATGTGACATGAGTCATCCTAACGGGGTCATCCCACCTCTATGTCGACAGATGATCTCTCTATCTGTTCCTGCTCTCTGCATGTCTCTCTGCTTCCCTGTGGCATATACTGGATCTCTCTTCATCCTCCGTTAGAGATCGCTCTATACGTCTATCTGTGTATCTTTAGCCAAGCAGATATCCATCTCTCTCCTCCTACATGTCTTTTATCTTTCTCTCCTGTCGTCCTCTCCTTCATTTGCTCTCAACTGCCATTACTGAACCCATCTCTCTACCTTCCCTTCATCACTACTGATCACTTATCCGTCTTGATCTTGCAGCTGCCCCCTTGCTCTTTTATGTCTAATTTATACTTCTTCAGTGCAGGCTGATGAGGGCACCTCTTGTACGCACCAGGCATATATAGTACTACAGCAGATAGCACGTAGCATGCGTGTTGGGGACCTGAACTGACCAGAAATCCCACTCCTAGCTTTGATGTCCAATCAAACTTCTGAGGAGTCTGCAGTGCCCGGTGCATAGTCACATTTTTCAGGAGGTGCACGGAGCATCTCTGCGGCTCTCTGAGCACCTTGCAAACCATCTCTGTGGCTTTGCTTTTTAGTTAATGTAATGTTAAGTTATTTAAATAGCTGATAATGTCAAGTTGAAGGTGCAGTGTGTAGGATTTAGGGGGATGTATTGGCAAGAATAGAATATAAGTGTTTTCATTAGTGTTTATTCACCTAAAAATAAAATCACTGTGTTTTTGTTACCTTATAGCTACATAGGGAGCTGGTCTTCGTCCACGGAGACCATCAAGTTACCCTGCCATGTCTCTACAGACGCCCAAAACAGACAAACCAAACCCTGACTCTAGACAGGGCCGTGCACATTTGTAAGTTTTCAGATTCGCGACTGTAGTTAGCAGAGACGAGCTGAACAGTGTCGTGATACTACTTTATTCAGTGTTTTTACCGGTTTAAATCACTAGGTGCATTTGTTTTGAAGAGGAGGAGACTTCTGCTGATAATTCAGCTCCTAGTAAAAACCTCCTGAACATCTGATCCTAAGTTATCAGAGACAAAAGGTGAGCGGACATTAGCAGGGGCTGGGCTAGCAGCTCATGTGCGACTGAACAGCATCAGAGAAACACTGATTTGTAACGTGAAACTACTTCATTCAGTGTTCTTACTGGTTTTCATCCCCCTGGTCCGTTTGTTTTGGAGAGGAAGAGACCTCTGCAGATGATTCAACTTCCGATAAAACTTCCTGAACTACAACACTGAAGGAATACTAAGCAGGAGTTCATGCTTGGAACATAGGGAGAAGTTTCAGCATGTTGCAGTGTGCAATCCTCATCACTAGATACTACTAAATCCTAAACACTGTTCCTTTAATGAACAACTGTCAAACTATCATCATTTTTTAGATTAACTTGTTTTTTGTAGAGGTGGGAGGGTCATTTGAATTTATTGTGTGTCATTTCAAATTTGTTTGATCTTGATTTTTGGTAGAAGTGTCAGCCTCTATTGTGAGCATGGGCTATTTTAATTATTCTATCACATTTACAACATCATGTATAAAGCTGAGAACTAGGAGCAGAGCATTAGGATGCTCAATCAAAAAATGTTCTGAACATTTTGGTGTCCAAATATTTTAAAAGTGTGAGAAATAAAATAAATATAATGCTAACAGGGCCTCAGAGACAGCAGAATTGGCACAAGCTGCTGTCCCTGTTAGGTACCCGGGAGGCCTGAGTGTATCTACACAGGCTCCGCTCCTACAACAGGGATTACAATACACCACTCGACACTGTTTTTAGCTTCACCATTAACAGACGTTTCTCTGTCCTCATGGACTGGAGGAGCAATTAGCACACAAAGCTTTTTGGGCTCTAATCCCACAAAAAGAAACTTGGCATTCACAGCCACTGAAATAGGAAAGGGCTATTTGAAGAATAATGTGAGTTATCTGGGATGGAAAACAATGCAGGCTATTTTGGGGCATTCCTCAACTTGTCAATCCCAGAGGATTGAATGCTGCTGTCCTCCCTCTGCTCTCTCCTTCACAGACTTCTGTTCATTTTCTCCCTCTCTCCATCTATCACCCCCTTATTCCCTGTCACAAAAATAACTATTTTTGACAAAGCTCCATTTTCACATTTCACTCTGCTCTGCACAGTTCTCAGCTGCATGCAATCTGAAGGCTGCTTTCACCTATAATACTCCCGCAAACGCACACAACCATCAAAAGCTTGATAGCTCTTCATCAGTTTTCAGATCTGCTGTCAATTCTAATCTGCTGTCATTATTTTTAGACTCAGGTGAAGTTAAGGTCTGCTTCTAAATTAGTCCTCATGCTATTTCTGGCTGCCTCCACGGGGAGCGATAGGAGCTGGATTGTTGCATAATGTCTCTGTGCTGATGGTAATAGTACTTGATCTGAGTAGGTTTATATTTAAGCATTAAGTGACAGGACAAGATCTGAGAGGATGAAAATCACCGTAAGAGGAATTTGCAGAGACAGGAACTCAAAATGTGCTCATAGGCTCACTCATCAAAGGCTCCGGGTTCATCTTGGGGACAGTTCGTAAAATTAGATGTTTCTGCTTCACAAACTAGATGAACGAATGAAAACAGATCGCTCTTATATTATTTTTTAAATATTTATGACCAGTCTTGCCACAGTAATGGCGTGATCAGAGCTTAGATCTGAAAAGACAAGCCAAAAAAGGAAAGATAGGTGGAGAAGAGGTGCTCAAAGGCTCCGCAAACATCCAGAGTTCAGGATGAGGCATGTTAAACATGCCAAAAGAGACAAAACTACCTCATAAGAAACACAAAGTTAACAAAACTATATGCCACAGGAATGCAAATACGTAAAATCTATACTCATGATGAAATTCAAAACCAGTCTTGTCACTATGTTGGTGCTTCATCAGAGTATGAGTAATATCTTAATAATAATGACTACTTGGCCTACTTACAATAAGAAAGGATCAAAAAGAGATGTGCAGAAAAAAACTATATTCACTTTTTTCATTTATCTTGTTTGAGATTTAAATAAACTACTAAGTAACTTCACATTGTCACTGGTTGCTATGCAGAGATCACTAACTGCTAACAGCTTTTACTGGAGTTCTCTAAATTTTTATTAAAGCTTGGGTAGGCAGTATAATTTTGGCATCATTGGGCAAAAATCCCATTATAAACTTAGAGCATATTGTAATTCAAGTGGTCTGAGAGAACACAAGCCTTCTGCACATCCACTTAGCAGCTTTTCAGGCTTAAGAAAATGACCGTGAAAGGAGACTTTCGCCAGTCAGACTATTTCCAGCAAAAATCAGCTGTCACTCACTGCTCATGAACTGAGGTCAAACTAGGCAGCGTTGATCAGATATGAATCAAGATTCTGTTACTTCATTGCCTATTTCTCTCCTCAGATATTTTCAGAAACATATTGTAGTGTATGGTTTAGCTGTAAAATGAGAAAGCTTGTGACCCAGTTGCCATGTTGTAAACAGCTGAGCTGAAACAAAGCACTGCCCACCCGAAAGATGAGAAAGTTTGCTCTGGGCAGTGGGTGGTGCTTCGTTTTCCCTTGATTGTTTTCAATATGGCAGCAGGGTCACAAGCTTTCTCATTTTACAGCTAAACAGTACACTAAAATATGTTTCTGGAAACATTTGAGGCACGTAAAAAGCAATGCAGTGACAGAATCTTGATTCATGTTTTATCAGCGCTGCCTAGTTTGACAGTTTGAGTGCATTCAAGCACACTGACAATATTGAAAGCCGCATTAGAGACGCCTTGTCTGTGATTGTTTTTATGATTCTCGCAAATGCCTTGGAAGAGGCAGAGGAGCATGATTTATCTACCTCATGCACTACTGTCAGGATATAGCAACAGGTATAAAAATGAACTGTCCTACCTACTGTAGCTTGTGTAACATTATAAGTTGTTATTTATGGGTTAGTCTTTAATTGAGAGACCTAAATGTCTCTAAATTTTTCTATTACTGGCTGTTTGTATGTGATCATGAATTGTGAGCTTCTTTTGCTGTCTCACCCTGTGTTTTATGCACTTGCTTCATTAATTAGCAAAGCTCCACTATGTCCTGTGAGTCTTCCACATCAATGAGCAGCTTTCTCCTCATTTACATCAGATTTTAAAGCTTCTAATAAAATTAAATATAAACCACGCATTAGATTAAATTCTCTTAAAATAATTAGTGACCAGTAACCTTCATGCTGCTGGAAAACAGCAGCTGTACAGAAGTCAGCTGCTAAGCTTTAAACCAGAGCCAAGAGGTGTGAGTTATTGACACGTATATTTGTCTTTTTACATCTGCCCCCGGTGGTTTAGGATGGATTTAAAGATTTTATTGATTGCCTTTAAGGCTCTTAATGCCCTGGCTTCCTGCTGTATTTTAGACCTTTTAACTCCATATGGACCTGTGTGTGGCTCGGGACTCTCCAGGCGTCCAGGCATGAAACTAAAGGAGACAGAGCTTGAGTGTCCCAAGACTGTCGAATGACAGGTCCGATGACATACAGAAAGACTGGTTGCATCATTTTTGCCTTTGTTTCATCTATTATTTTATCATTTATCCATTCAGGGTTTTTTTTTAGATTTTAGTTTTAGTTTTATTTAGGTCAATTTTGGTTTTGGTTTTAATGCATTGTCCTTTGAGAAGCACTCTTACATTTGCTCTACAAATGAGGATTATTATTAGAAACCTTTTGCTGCTCTAACAACAGGGACTTATGGTATTTTAATACTGAAGAACATGTTGTATTTTACAGGATACAAATAGACACAAAAAAGACTTAAAAATATGACATATTTAACATAAAGATGTGCTAAGGTGTGCAGTGCACAATGCTCTGACAATGAGGACCAACTCCACGTGATTATGATATTGTAGGATGTATACATTTAATATATACACTGGTATAATTGTATAGTCTAATGTTTAGATTGGTGGATCACCATGTTAAAGAGCCTTAGGGATTTGTCTTGGCCTTAGGTGGCGGGAGGTTAAGTTGACTGTAGAAGAGGTTGTGATGTGAAATCCACACTTAAAATCACAAAGTTCAAAAAAGTTTGAGGGAAACTGGGGTGGGCCTGCCACAGTTTACAGTTTCATTTCTCTAAAATGTACTTTTGTGAAAAGAGACACACTCCAGTAATATGATGTAAACAGCAGGGCTGATAATACTGTCTTTGCAAACTGGACACACATACCTGCTTGTACTCTCCGATAATGGAGCCGTTCTTCTTTATCTCTGATTCAGACTTATCGAGCTCTCGCCTGCACATCTCCTTCAGCTGTGGAAACACACAAACACACATACTGTTGGAGGGCAGAGACCAAGGACAGAGAGGCAGAGTCAGAGGCCCCAGAGACCATGTGACTGCCATAACGTGAAGAAGACAGAGAAAGGTATTGGCAGACTTGAAGCTCGGGGCAAAGTCACACCCTCAACACAACCTCTGCGCGAGCACATAAATCATTCATAGTTACACCTACACATTGAAGAAGACAGGACACATTCGGTGGACAGTGCTGAACACACATGGGAACAGAGGCCAGCAGCTTTCTTTCACCTCAGAGGGATTTTTCATTGAACTCAAGAAAATCAACATCAAAGAAGAGCTGACAACCTTTGACACTGGAGGTTTGACTGTGAGAGTGTGTGTATTTGTAGACATAACACAGATGATTGAGGAAGCTCTGGTAGAGGCAGATAGACTGAATCCAAATGTCCCCCCCCCCCCCAGACTTGAGGACTAAGCCTTTGCGTACTTTCAGTAACACGTACTGCAATGTGTTCACTGTCAAAATGTAACGTCTGTGAGGCCACAGACTGCTAACCGCTGATAGACGGGCCTCAAGACTGTTAAACCCATTGCCATGGAAACATTTAAGCAACTACATTAATGTATGTAGTGATTGCTACTGTCATATTCCTCACTCACGTTGATGAATACTGTCTGCTCATCTGTCCCTGCAGATTACAAGATATTAATCCCATGTAAGGGCTTTTTTTGTGAATGCACCAAATGATATTCATACATTTCTATAAAGGCTACACACATTCAAATACAGACGTGTTTGTAAATTAGAACCGAACTATGTCTAAATACATTGGGTCTTACTTAAATTGGAAGACCTGCTTTTGTTGTGTTTCAGCCCATTTTCCTAGCATATACATTTGCCGCTTTAAGCCTATAGTGTAGGCTGCAGTAATATAATGGATTTTTATGACCTCCATAGCCTATAATTATACACATTTCTGCAAATATGATGTGGCTGAAAATTATTTCTAGCCTACAAGATTCAAGTAGCCTTTAAATACAGTAATTATTTTACACATTCATAGTAAGTTTGTTTTGCTTTCTCAGTCAGCACCTGAAATAATTCAGTCACATCTGTATTGTAATGGGTTGTGGATGATTACGTCTGGTGAAGTCTGCACCCGAAGCAGAAAGTCTGCTTGAGGCCCCCTGTGGACTGGATGAATTGTAGATTCTGACAGCCTTCAGCACTTGCAGACTTTCCAGGAGGGCGCCCATAAAGTCTGCAAGTGCGTGAAGTCCTGACATTTGGATTCAGCCATACAGTAGCTACACTGTAGGTAGCTACAGTGGGACTCCTGTTAACTCCTTTTGTAGACCATTAATCAGTCTACACTACATCCTCCTGAGACCCCAGCTTTTGTTTGGTAGGCATTTTTCAATTTCTCCAAGCTATTTGGGAAAGTAGGACCTGATAAGTATAAAAAAATTAAGCATTGTCTTTGACCAAGAAGTAGTTTTTGGGGACAGTGGGTTTATTTTTAATAGTCACAAGTGTGTAATAAATTATAAAATTGTTAATTTCAATGCCTGAACACTGTTGTGCAAAAACAAAATTGCAAATAATGCAACATATCTAAAAGCCTTGTGACTCTCTATTAAAATTTCTTGCACCATACTCCTGTCCATGAATGTCCTTTTTTTCTGTAGGAACAGTTTGTCACACCTAATTGGCCTGTGTGAAATATTGGGATAATACAATAATTAAGTCCCAATATCCTCAAAGGAGTACTTCCTAATTAAAAGCATTTTAGCTTCTTACTGTTGTTAAAATTGGTCAAATTTGTTGCTGTTATTTAGCAAAAATATACAAGTATCAACCACAACATTTGATCAGGTTTTGTACCTTGTCCACTTTTGTGTTAGGATCGGCTGCAGACTGAGCATAAAAGTGTCCACAAACAAGGACAACATGTCTAAGTCATGCAGACTTAAGTATAATGTGCAGGAAACCCAAAACCTGATGTCCTCATATGAGGAGGCAGGGTCTCAGGAGGATATCAAAAATATAAACTAAAGACATGCCAACATGGCATGAGTCTGCAAGTTTTTATTCTCACTTAATAAAAATAAGACAGCAGGTGATTATAGTGATTAACACACCTTCATCCCCAGAAAGAGACTTTATCAGTAATATCAGCCATTGCAGTGTTCGGCTGGAAGAGAAACCTGCAGACTCTTGGCTCGGTCCAGAAGATAGACTGCTCAGTCACAGCCTGTCACATTAATATTGTATACTTCCTGCTAGTCTCCTTCTTGACCCGGGGACAGGAGATTTAAGCACTGTCTTTTCACAATAATTCTGATTATTCCTTCACCTGAGAATCTGTCTTGCAATAGTGCTGACGCTTTCCCCACCATCTGTAACCCTGTGAGCCTCATGAGAGTTGAGGAAAATCATACATTCAGCTAATGTCTAAAATATAGGCTGAGAGGTGCCTCGTCGTTGGCTCTGACCTGTGCAGATTCTTCCTCCAGTCGTCTCTTTTCGTCCTCAGAGTCCACCAGTTTCTGTTTGGTCAGCAGCAACTCTTTATTCAGGGCATCTGCCTTCTCCTCAGCCTGACACACAAACACACACACACACACACACACACACACACACACACACGACAAAATAACCCATTGTTGGGTTAGGGTTAGTTAGTTAGTTACACTTGGCCTACTTTCTTCTTAGTTTTCTCTCTACCGGCTCTCTTTTCAAGGTAAGTCACACGTGCATTCCTGCCAAACACACGTACACACTGATGACATTTTGAGGTTGTGTAAATCAAAGTTGTGTGTAAATAAAGGTTTTGCTACATGTATACTGTATGTGGGTTTTGTTTCATAAACATGGTTTCAATTTCTCTTATGTTATTTCAGTTATTGCTCAATTGTTGCCACATAGACCGCATACTTGTGTTCGTTAAGTGTCCTTACAGAAGTGACAACTCACATTTTAATAAATGTGTACACACACACACACACACACACACACACGAATCAGATATTTCTTTCTCTTTGGCTTACGTTGTCGAGGTCTTTGCGCAGGGCTATCTTGCTGCTGACAAGCTCGTGTGCCAGGTCATCATTCTCCTGCTCCAAACGCATGTTCGCCTCCTGCAAACGACGGTTCTCCCGCTGGACATGGAGAAAAGGAGGAAGAGAGCGTGAGAGTCAGAGGAACACAAACAAAAAAAAAAAATGAAGCAAGACAAAGAGTGGGATGAGAAAACAGAAGAGCAGATCAACAGAGAGAAGTTAGAGAGCATGAAAGAGGAAGGAAAGTGTAGAGATAGAGCAGGGAAAATGAGTTGCAAATGAATGAGTAAGCAGCTCTTCTTGGCTCAGGAGTTTAGAGAGTGGTGCAACAAAATACAGAATGAGACTGTGAGTGTAAAAGTTAACTGTGATCAGGTGAGAGCAGAATTACACAGTAAGTTGTCTGTAATGTTTAACAGGGCATAACCTGTTTGTTCATCATTAACTGAGACAGACAGCATTAATAACTGACACATGACAAGTCTGTTCCCAGAGATGACAAGCATACAGTTGGAAAGGATTAAGTATAAATATTACAAAATTATGAGTGTTCCTGCTTCCAAAGAAATTATATTTATGAATTATGATCATCCGAAATAAGCCTGAGCATCTTAAAATGATGAATCTCTGATAACTTGACTGAACCAACCTGACTGCAGTCACCTTTATCAAACTGTGGCCTAATGTTTGACTGTATGAAAACCCTCATGAATAGTGATAATACAAACATCTCAAAGTTCCTTGTTTGACATAAAAAAAATAGTATCGCTATATGGTTTGGTGGAAGCATTCTTTTAAAAGCAAACAAAGCAGAAGTTCAGTGAGTGTAATTGATGATCATGTACTGTGTACAGCCAACTCGCTACCCTTGAGATGACTTATGGCATGTACAATTAATAACTTTTTTGGTGCCATGTAGTTTTTCTTTCCCAAACAAGGACTGTCAAGGTCTACAGCGGGAGGGGAAGAAAAAAAGATGTATTCTGCTCAGTGAAAAGTCTGTCAGAACATGGTGCTTGTTTTAACACTATGTAGCAGTAGTTATCTACACCAGCTACAGGGTTTTGAAATCAACTTCAATACTAAAATAGTTCAATTATAATATATATGAATAGAAATTAAAGGGACAGTTCACCTCAAAATCAAAAATACATATATTTTATCTTGCCCTTAGTGCTATCTATCAATCTAGATTGTTTTGGTGTGAGTTGCCGAGTGTTGGAGATATTGGCTTTAGATATCAGCCTTATCTTGAATATAATGGAACTAGATGGCACTCGCCTTGTGGTGCTCAAAGTATCAAAAAGACACATCTGGAAAAACTCAACTATGTATCTTTCCACAAATCATGACCTGGATGCTCATAGAGTGTGCCAGAGCTTGACGTCAAAACCCGGAAGTTTAGCATCACGCTGGTTCCCGGAAGAGAAAGTGAATGTGATTTTTGCATTGCGTTTTGGATTATGTCAGAAAATAAGCTCTGTGGCTAACACAAGTTTATGATACTTACAGGTTTTGTTCAGTGAGATAATCTTCACATATGAACACCTTTCATACCACATTTGAAGCTTAAATGCGATCGCCAGAACGTTAGGCTTTAACAGACTACATGACTACTCCATGTCCGCCACTAAGCTTTCAACTGATTTCGGCCGCTTTATTTTAAAAACATTGTATAATGGGGAAATCGGACTGTTTAAGCTAAATAAGAAGCTGTAATGGCGGACTGCCAGCACTCTCGCCTGTTCGGGGGTGATGACGTTTAATGTCCCCAACAGGGTTTGTAGTGGTATTGAGCAACTTGGTAGTAACCGCCTTTTTTACGACACGTTAAAGCTTCAGAATTCACAAGAAGGGTATTTACTGACGTGTTTTATATCGTAGAAGAAAACCTGAAACTCGCCTAAGCTTTTGTTAACCACACCTTATTTGAGGCATTTTACTAAAATCCCATTCAAAAACACATATTGACTTTTAGACGAGAGAACCGGAAGTGCTAAAAGCGCTAACGGAGTTCCGGGTTTACTGGCACACTCTATTACACTCAACTGCTAGCTCACCTAGCATCACTAAGCTAGCTAACGTTACAGCTCAGCTGAGGAGAACGTCATTAATGTTTACATATCGCGCTGTCATGAGCATGAGCCTCTTGTCCACGAGTAGATGCACGCTTCCTTGAGTAACTGGGATATCGTTTTTGGAAACAGACATTGCTGTGTAGTTTTCCACTGTATTAGAGAGAAGGCAGAGATCTCCAACACTCAGCAACTCACACCAAAACAATCTAGAGCCTGGGTCTTCAACAGAGGGTCCGTGACCCCTAGGGGATCCTCAGAGTTACTATAGGGGGCCACCAAATGATCTCTAAATAATCGAATTAACTGATGAAAGTTTCAGTAAGTAAAATGTGTCTCAAAATCCACATTAACGTGAATCTAACATATTAGCCAAGATAAATTAGCCTATTCATAAAACCTATTAGTTAACAGTACACAACATTTTTGATAGGCTGACTGTTACCCAAGAATCGTTATGCGATCATGTGAGCTAGCTAATGCTACATCACTGTGCGGCACCTTTAATTATTTTTGCATATTAGCCAGTTAGCTGTATTACTATGTCACGTGTACAGACATTGTTGTGTGCCACAATGTATTGTTTCATAACTTTTAAACAAACTCTGACACACTGTCCACCGCAGAAACTATCACTGAAAGTGCAGAGGGTGAGGCTAATGCACCTAGCAACACTACAACTGCTGCTTAGTTAGCAGCTAGGCAAACAAGAGAAGACCCAAAAAATATTCAGAACTATCTCAAGTGCAATTCTTTGTTCTTCTTTTTTTTTTTTTAATATAAGTAGTAGGGATCCCTGCTGTTTGTCTTTGGGCCAAGGGGTCCCTAGTCTGAAAAATGTTTAAGACCCCTGATCTAGAGTGATAAACAGCACTACAGGTAAGAGATAAAATATATGTTTTTGATTTTGGGGTGACTGTCCCTTTAAGACAGAAGATGTTGCAGTAATGAAGTTGTTGAAATTTTTATGCTTCATACACGTAGGTGAATATTTTGGGCTCATGTCTACCTCGTATCTCTCGATTGGAGCCTCCTGTTGCTCCTGCTGCTCCCTCATAGTGTGGTACTCCTTCTCAAATTTCTTAAGCTTCTTCTGGCTGATCTGTTGGACAGTTAGAGCAGAAAAAAATGTTTGGTATTCATCAACTTTCGCACACACACACGAAAAATGACAATTAGTTGCAATTACAGACATGATAAAACATATGAACATAAACTAGCCCACTAGTCTTTGGCTCGCGCAGCAAAGGTGGCTGCCAGAGAAGAATCTTTCCCATCTTTTGTAAACAAACACACAAGATTGATAATCTTTGCTGGACTGTGGCGTTCGTTGGTTCAATCCAGTGTTTGAATAGGATGCAGTGGTTTATGTAAAGAGATTACAGGCTCAGTTTGCTACTGTTCATTTCTAACAAGGCAATACATTGAGACATTGCTGTCCACACAGTCCAGAGTAACTCATGCCACCTCACTGTTTTTTAAAAAGTTCCTAGATTTGTGCACACATTAAAATCATAAAGCTTCTAAAATACACAGAAATCAAAGATTACAGTATTTCATGTCTGAAAAAGAGCAGTCTAAGGGCCTGTGAACTAGTTTCTCCAGGCAGGTGAAACAAAACTGTTCAGCACACTTGGTTCATCATCTCGTTGTAGAACTGATGTTCACAGTTCATGTTCAGTGGTACACCTCATACTGCCTCAACCAGCAAAACAGTGTCTCATTTAAACACACACAGGCTTATAGTCACATTTCCTACAGATGCAGCTTGCACACACACACTGCATTTAGGCCATCTCATTAACTGGCCTTTCACTGCCCAGCTGCTGCCTTACATTGGGCTTTTTAAACGAGACAGCTTCCATACAGTGAACACTGTGCCTGAATTTCAGCATGAAGGAGAGACTTGCATGTCAATTCTGGGGGTTTTAATGGGATAGTTCAAATTATTTTAAAGTGGGGCTGTATGAGGAACTCATCAACAGTGAGTGTATAGGCACAGTCACACATGAGCGTAATTAATATTGGCAAATATTTGCCTCCCCTTCACTTCCATTCAGTGCAAGCGAAGGGGAGAGTAAAACATTTGCTCTCGTTAGCAAAGCAAATTTGCATTATGTGAAATCAAACTTTGGTGAATTTCAATTAGTGATGTCACAGCCTCAACCAACGGCAAAAACAGTACGTGTTGAGGACACATTAATTGTTGAAGTGTTTGACCAGCTGATACTGTATGATACTGGCCATGAAAACTACAAACTGGCCCACATGAGAAATGCTACCTGGCTCGCAGTGAGTCGGGAGACAGGCATAGAACGTAAGAAAATGTACCAATAATATCATATGTTGCGGTATGTATTAGCAAGCTAGCTTTCCGTGTTTGTCACTGCCCACAATTACCTTGAATATCGCCTCAGCAGGCAGTGGTCACTCCCCTGCATTCTCTCATGTGTGACTGTACTCTAAAACCAGTAGATGGTGATTGGCATGCCCCCAGCGTGGAGAAGCAGACAAGAGTACTGACATAGAAGCTGAGTAATGAACTGGGGTGGATGGGGATGGCAGCAAAATATATTTTAGCCACCTAACTAATCTGTATCAATCTTAAGTATACTTTATAATTAAATAATTTTCACCGCTTTACCTGGCCATCGGAAAGCAATTACTTATGCCATCATGAAAGCAACCAGACTCCATTGACAAAAACAGTAATTTTACCTGTTAGAACATAGGAGGTTCTGATCTAGCGCTGCCTCGATTAGTTTGTTTGTGCTATTGTGTGACTTTGGTGAATCAGAAGTAACCGTTTAAAGCACCAAAGTCACACAATAACACAAACAATCTAACCAATCAAGGCAGCAGTAGACCAGCAGCTCCAGTGTTCTGCAAGGTAAAATGACTGTTTTTGTCAATGGAGTCTGGTGGCTTTAATGACAGCATAAAGAACGGCTTTAGTTCTCTGTCTGAAAGAGTTGCCTAATGGCTAGATTAGTGTTCAAATTATTCTAAATATTGCGTACACTTAAACTGATACAGATTTTTTTTTCAATTTGGGGCATTTTTCAAGGCAGCTTAAATACGTTTTGCTGCTGCCCCTGTCCTCAGCAGTACATTGCCTATCTTGCGTGGGTACTCCTAACTGCTTCTCCAAACTGGGGGCGAACCGACCACCATCGACCGCAGGTGACACACTGACTACAGACAAGCGCCTCATACAACCCCACTTCAAAAAATCTGAATAATTTATTTCTTTATTTCTACATTTATTATTTCCTTAATGCAGCTAGTTACGGCTGCAACATCAGTGCACAGCTGGTCTTTGTATTGATGTTCATGTCACAACCTCAGGTTTAATATTACACTACAGAAGATCCAAGTACTCCCAGCGCTCTTCACCTAATGATGTTGGCAGAACTGGGACAGTGTGGCCCACATGTTGTCCTGCTCTAAGTGTGTCTCTGCGTGTGTGTACTTGTACATGGGGGACATACAGAAGGAAGGAAGGAAGGAAAAGTACATGAGGTGTTTTTTCCTCATTTCTCTCGCAGCCCTGACAGACAGCTGGGTCTCCAGAAGTTACTGCTTAGAAAAGCAATTAGGAACACGGAGCAACCACGGCTCTCTCAAGTACAGCCATAATTTATAGACATGAAATATTTCTCATCTTACAAGTCCTGGATCAATTATATATTAGGAAATTACCTGTGCAGTACCATCAGTACTGTTTGCTGAAAGTACCCTAGCAACTAGAATAGGCATATAGTAAAACCACCTGCTCTCTTTCGGGTGATTTGCTCATCATTCTCTGCTCTTCTGAACCTAAAAACCTATTTAAAGCTTTCGTCATGTGGAGAGCTGCAGCTGTATAAATGTACCTCTGCATGCATGCTCACACAGTTTGTACTAGAGAGAAGGAAGGGGGCTGTGACATGAAAAAAAAACAAGACAGGTAAACAAAGTTCAACTTCAAGCAGTCATGATTTCCATTTAAATCCCCTGGGCAATTTGCATATATTAGCTTTAGAAGTCAAAAGGTTGGCAGACAATAGGATAAAGTAGGTGTAACAACTACAGCCCAAGACAAAATGACCTGAGTTTGACCCCGAGATTGTCTCCTGAATAAATTGTGTGACCTGACTGTAGATTTAAAATATATTTGTCACATATTCACTTCAAAATTATTCAAACTCTCAGGACCTTTGACCACAACAGTTGAAACTTTTTCCTCCTAATACATCTCCTAAAACACTGGTTGTCAAACGATGGTGCTTGTACCACTGGTTGTACGTGAGCTCTCTCTAGTGGACATATATTTTTTGATTAATTAAATATATAAAGCTATCAAAATACTTTGTCCTGAATAAAAATACTTAATCTACGAGATCACTAATATGCAATTTTAATCAAGTTTTGTCCTTCCTGTAATACTGTTGTTTACATATCAGGCTGCTACGTTGTCACGTTCATGAAAGCAGTGTGCACCTATGTCCATAAGTTACGAGCTAAACTGTGACAGCATGATAGTGAGCGAAGGTAAAATTAGGGTTTAAAAACTCTGCAACTGTGGCTCCAAACTGGGAGGATTAAGAAGAGAAATGCAGATCAGCACCAGAATATTTCAAGCAGCCCTGTTGAAACTGAAGTGGACGAGAATCAACCAAGTGTAAGCTCTAGGGGCTACTAGCCAGTGGCTAGGAGGGGCTGGACCTTGCGGTGATTGAGAGTTTGTGTGGAAGACTGTAAGTGCCAGTTCTTGTGCTACACCTTTGTACAGTGTGGCAGACACCAGTCAACAATAAATTATCTTCTGATTAGGAATAAACCTGCCACCTGCATGAACTGTTAGTAGCCGATAAGGGTGGTCTACTGTACTTTAACATCGGTCATATGGTGGTACTTGGAAAGCACGATATTTTCTGAGGTGATACTCGTTCAAAAGGTTTGAGCACCATTGTACTAGAACTCACAGTCAAACACTCAGCACTACGATTACTGTCCTATAGTTGAAATATAGGTACCCCATTTATCGATTCCTTAACTGTATGCTTAGTTACACTTAGTTTGTCTTTCCTCCTGGTAAGATAGGATCACCATAATCTTCTTGCTAATTCCTCCATAAATAAGTGTATAAATGAATGCAGAAATAAATAAAAGAATAAATACCAAAATAAAATGAATAAAGACAGAAATGCAGAGGTTAGGATCTCCTCCCTCACTAACATACAGATACAGGAATACAACAATAAATGTAATTGTACAAAAATGTAGAAATCAGATTAAGATTTATTTATGTCTGGCTTAATTATCAATTTTTTTTAATCTATTTATTTATTTATTTATTTATGCTAGCATGTATTTATTTCTGTAGTTATTTATTATTTTATTTATTGTTTTATTTATTCATACATTTATTTATTTAAGTTATTTATTTTTCATTTCTCTGTTTAAATACACATTTATTGATTGATTGATGAGCCCTTATATGAACTTTTTGGAAACGCATGATTTTGAATAATGTGAAGCTTTTCGCAAATTATGTACTGCTGTATTTAATTTAATATAATTTTATGTAATTTATACAATTTTGTTTATGTACTTTTATCATAATAATTTTTATTATTTAAATTATTTATTTTATTTTACTTTTATTTTATTCTATTTATTCTTTTCTTTCTTACCAGGGTTGTGGATATATTATTTTCTTTGTTGAAATGTTGCTGTTAATGTTTAATGTTTAAAAACTCAATAAAAAGGATTGTTCAAAAAGATTGATTGATAAAAAAAAAAATATATCAAAGATTACTTTTCTCTGGCTCTTGCCTTTAATGGATTTGATAGTTTAGTGTGTTAAGGGGGAGAGAGAGGGACTGACAAGCAGCAAAGGGCCGCAAGCCGGAGTCGAACCTGGGCCGCTGCAACAAGGATGCAGCCTATACATGCTCTAACCACTAAACCACCGACGCCCTGATTGATTGATTGATTGATTGATTGATAGTTAAGTTATTTATTGTCCTCCATAAGAACCAGGGGGTTTGGCCTTAACTCCTGATATATAAGTAAAGCCAATATAGTGCTCCATTACTTTGAGCCTTTTTAAGCTTTAAAATATACATGGAAATATCCAGAGGGAGGTCGTTCAGAGGTAACAGTCAAAACTTTAAATTGTGTTTAATACAGCACTGTGAGATACTGACTGTAAACCTGGCAAATCTGAGCTCAAACAGACAATAAAGTTAAAGCACCTGGCAGCACGGAGAGATTTATGCTCCAATCAGAAGGCAGTATCTGCAGTCAATGAGGGCACCAGTAATCTAGCCAGGTAATCCCTCTATAGTGACATCCAAGCTTCAGATTAGCCTACCTTGATTCAGATTTAATTCCCAGCTCCAACACTGCCGTTCTCACTGAGGTCAAACGAGTTCTTGGAATTATTTTCTCTTTCCACATAATGTCCTGGAAGTAGGTTCTCAAAGCAGTTTGCAGTAAATGGAGGGTCTGTATACTTCTGTGTAACTACATGCAGGTATGTTGTTGAAATGGGTACAAAGAGCCCCTTACATACAAGTATTAGCTGAGATAAATAATTACAAGAAGCCTACATGGGGAGAAATGTGCTTTTATAGTGCTTTGCTTCCCGTCTGAGAGGCCTCATCAGCCCAGTTGTTCAGAACTGATGCCGCAAAGATGAGTACTAAAACATCTTCAAGACCGCACTCCAAATCCAATCGCCTCTGTTTTTGTTCCACTAGGTTTTCTCTCTGCAGGATTCTTCTCCACGCCGGCGCCTTAACAGAGTTTGATCTTATAAATATCTCTGCCCAAAGTTACCATCAAAGTCAGGCCCTCTAAACTAGGCTGTTCAAAACAGGTCAGGACACAGGTGTGTGTGTGTGTGTGTGTGTGTGTGTGTGTGTGTGTGTGTGTGTGTGTGTGTGTGAGAGACAGAAAGAGAGAGGTGTGTTCACTGCACCTGGTAAACTTGATTTAAAGTTCAAAAGTGGCCCCTGCTGGTATTTAAGCAGCACTGCTGGACTACAAAGAGGATTTATTCAACCCATTACATTTTATCTGGATCAAGTGATGAGTAGACACTCTGTGTTTTATGTTTTAAATATTCCAAATCCATTACAACTGTATTAAACACCTTAAAGACCATTAGCTTTAACATATAAGGGACTTGTTTAAATTGTATTTTCACTCAAAATGAAAATTAGGTTACTAAATAAATACAGAGCCTAACCTGAAGTCTCAGAGATTTGTATAGGGGATGAACAGGTGTAGCTACAGTGTGTAAATAGTGAGCCGAGACTCTATTCATTTTTACTCTGAACCAGTTTTTAACTTACAGCCAAAGGACGAAATCTGGCCAGTGACAGGTCACCAGGTACCTCTCCAACCATTTTCTAATTTACAATAAAATTAAAGTTATTCGCACTGGGATTTTTTTGGACTCTAAAAGTAAATAATGTGTCAAAGTGCACAAAAAAGCTTCAAAACAGAGGTCCAGGCTCATCCCCGACTGCCCTCAAATACTAGAAACACTGTTGTGTACACCTGACCTGTTTGGGGCGGCTGCAACTGGCCCCCGCTTCCTGTCATTTTACAAAAAAGTGACAAAAAAGTGGCCCCTGAGCTAAGCACGCTGAGTGTCCCTGCTCTAAACTCACCTTCATGCTGCAGGCCAGCTCCATCAGTTTCTTTGCGTTTTCCTCAGAGCGATACCTCTTTGGAACTGGGACACGAAAGAACTTGAGTGCACCCTCGAAGTCTGTTTGGATCAGATCGTCTTTTGATGTCTAAAGAGAGAGGGATGGGAGAACATGAGGAACAAGTTTACACAATCAGGAGGAGCCTGCTGGGTGGACATGTATTTTCATTATTGTAATATGAAGCAGCACGATCCTCAGTGACTGAGACAATTTTCTGAACTATATATGACAAAGTTTGCGACTGACTTAAAGGGACAGTTCATCCCAAAATCAAAAACACATGTTTTTCCTCTTACCTGTAGTGCTATTATCAGTCTAGATTCTTTTGGTGTGAGTTGCTGAGTGAGTGTTGGAGATATCGGCCGTAGAGATGTCTGCCCTTTCTCAAATATAATGGAACTAGATGGCACTCAGCTTGTGATGCTCAAAGCACCAAAAATATACATTTGAAAAACTCAACAGCAATGTCTCTTTCCAGAAATCATGACCTGGTTACTCAAGTTAATCCACAGACCTTGTTGTGAGCAGTTTCATTTCTACTAAATGACACCTGCCAACCATGTCACTGCGCAGAAGGAAGTGTGCATCTACTCACAGATAAGAGGCTCGTGACAGCGCAAGATGTAAAATTAATGCATCCTCTTCGGTTAAGCTGTAATGTTAACCAGCTCAGTAGTGCTAGGAGAACTAGCAGTACATGTGCACTTCTTTCTGCATGATGATATGGTTGACGGGTGTAGTTCAGCAGAAAGAAAGTAGTTCCTATATAAAGCACAACAAGGTCTGTGGATTATCTTGAGTGACTGGGTCATGATCTCTGCAAATCAAACATTCCTGTTGAGTTGTGAGTGCCATCTCATAGAGAAGACAGACATCTCTACGGCCAATATCTCCAACACTCCACCACTCACACCAAAACAATCTAGACTAATAAATAGCACTACAGGTATGAGGGAAAATATGTATTTTTGATTTCAGGGTGAAGTGTCCCTTTAAGTCTAGAAAGATTAAAGTTTCTCCAAAAAATGTTTCCAAAATGATGGATCACTCTTTCGAGGCCAAACTCAAACTGAGGTCACACTGCGGCATGTGTCTGCACCTGCTCACATGTGCAGACATGTTTAAACTTTTCATGGTTTGATTTTCTATTGGCGCTTGTTGAGGCTTTCTGTTTCTCCTCAGAGCTTTAGCTGCTTGGGTTGTTGTTGTGTGTGCATGTGATTGTGTGTATTTATATTTTTGTGAGCCAGCTTACCTTCAGGAGTGCCAAGGCCACGTTGAAAATCACACTGATGCCCTGAAAATAAAGACACATTTTTAATGGTGGATTGAGGAATCATGTCACTGAGTATGGAGTATCTGCACAAATGGTACAAACTGCACATTTTTCCATGTAACTGACTTACTTTAGAATATAATTTGCCATCAATAGACACATATATTTCCAGGTTCATTAAAATAAAAAGGAGAATGTATGAACTACATACAGAAGATAATCAGACCCGTTATTCTAGTGCTGCATTTGCTGCTAATGATATCCCTTTACCAGCTTTGCATATCTGAATTAGCACTGTGTCTCCTTGTCTACCTTGCAGATTGTTTATCAGCACTGTCAGACTTTATGTGAAGTTGAAAAACTACAATCTTAATATCTCTCCACAGAGCCTCAGGATTTGGCTGGCCAACATTAAGACATCCAAAGACACTCCAGTTGTTTTGCCTGGACCACCCTGCGGAAAGGTCAATCTTCCCCTCAGTCTGAGGTTACATGTGATTTGAAGCAGGCTTCTCTCTCTGTACTTGGGTCTGTCCATCACGTCCTAGGTCTTGAACAGTCTCCCAGTTCCTGCCACTGCACCGATGCATCATCACAGCATCACTGTGCCCTGCATTACTCAGGTGATTAATGGGGCATGGTTTTTATGAGATGTAGAGCTCAACGTTCAGGCCAGAAAACTATCTTCGTCTCATCATACTAACTACTCTCTGAGGCCGTCAGGTGGATAAACTTTTCACAGACTTTCACCTAACTGCCAGCTCTTGGAAGAGTGTTCATTGTTCCAAATGTTTTTATTACATACTTCTCACTTCAAACGTAATTATTTTCACTGTGCTTGAGTGCTTGAATTTGCCACAGTCAACAACTTGGTCAGTAACACAGAGAAAATCAATACAAATAGGATGCATGTGTGAGCTCAGTTTAAAGTGTCACAGCAACGGGTTCCTTAGAATACTTATGTATTTCAGTTTCATTACTTTTCATTAGTTGTGTTTCCACCCTAATGTAGTGCACATTTAAAAGAGTTTTCAGAAAAACAAAATAGAAAGGTATGTGCTTTTTTTTTATCCACTACTGTTGTGTCAGTATTGGGAGGGAGTTGGTTCATCAAAATAAGCAGCAAGTAGTGCTAATTCTTCACAACAAGAGGGGACAATGGAAATAGAGTGTTTTTAACAATATTACAGCTCTGTGCTCTTAGAGCAGCACAACCCTGTGTGCGCATAAACATGTTAAAAGCCATCCACAGACAACAAAGACAGCTTGCAGTGGCTTATGGAATATGCAATCATGGTACATCGTGACTGTATGTCATCATTTATTCACTGAATCTGTTCCCATTGCACTAAGTTGCATTTAACTTTTACTGATACATGTTTTCCACCTTCCCTAGGATAAAAATGTTTTGTTATATTTGGAGATTTTCTATTTTCTAAATTTCTGGCATTTCCCCTCAGGTTTCTATGCACAAATTGAAAATACATATAGAAACGGGTGGATGGAATTGCAACTATCGGTACGTCTAATAGAATGGGAGATTGTGTTTCATGCTTTCAAAAGTATGTGTGAACTGCAGCTAGTAAAGTTGTGTTGTGTCTTTTGTTACCAACCTCACACAGTAGCAGGTCAATGATATGGAAGACCATGTAAAGAGGGAACTTGGCTGTGAAGAGGGTGAGGAACCACTGGGAGGCGTACATGTGTGCCTCCAGACCCACATTCAGGAAATGGGTGTACAGGTCTGGTATATATTCCTGTTTGAGACAGAGAGAAAGCAAATGATGGACGGACAAAGTTAATACAGAGACAGGAGCAAAGAGAGGTAGACAAGTAGATGGAAAAGAAAAAGGTGAGACATAAATTAATAGAGGTACTGAATCAAAAAGTCAAATGTATATGATGCAGGATATCTCTCTCAATCATCACTTATGACCCACTATAAGTGTGTGGCCATCTATTTATCTGAAGAGATCCTACCCGCCGTGTATGGGACGGTCCTGGGCACAGCGCACAGGTGATGTTGGGATTTTATAAAAAGGTAGCAACCATGTGCCAGACTGTGAGCAGAATGCATCCAAAAGGAAGCTACAAAAACTGTGTACAAACAGGGCCAAAAAGAACACAAATATAGCAAGGTGAAACACCAACTGGACAAGACTCCTTCCAATACAAGAGTGAATCTGGGGTTGTTTTTTTACTTTTACTTGTGAGCTCTGAAGGAGAGGAAGGCTGATGAACAGCAATGAGGAATGGGCCTATTGTCTGATGGACAGGTAGGTTCTAGCGGTTAGCTTAGTTACAACAAATGTAACATTACTACAATAGTAGCTGTAGGGAGGAGGGGCCAAGTCTAAAAGTTGTTTTTACAAAAAGTAACCATTAATTCCTGCATAGGACACCTTTAAACACAGAAAGACAGGAAGTAGCACCAATCAACTCAGTTATTAGACCAGTTGTACACACACATCTTTTTAGTGTGATTATGCCTGAACACGGTGAAGTCAGCCACTGCTATGATGTACCATCAGAAGTAGTAGTTAAGATCTGCAAATTTCACACACATATACCTGCATGAGTCTCTCAAGTTGGAAGAATTTGCAGTGCAGATCTTCAAAGTTCTGCTTGAAAAGGTCCCTGAGCCCGTAATCAAACATGATCTTGACCAGCACGCTGAAAGCTTGCTCCTCCGGCATCTGAAGAAGACAACCAAGAGATTTAGTAACTAGTATCACTCCACTTAAAATCCTAATAACACAGGATTCAGATTCCCTTACTTAAAAGCTTTCCCATTTATAAAACTACCTGAACCTATTGAATAGGTCCTTATATTGTTGTTACACTTTGCACACCCCTCCCTTGACACTATTTGTCCACTAGGTGGCAGTGTTGACACATTCCTGAACCGCAGGAGTGCTTAATGGAAAGCCAGTGTATCGTGAAAGACACATTATGTATTATTTATAAAAATAAAATGTGGGTGTCCCACCTCAACTGATGGAGGAAGAATCCAGACCTTTTACTTAAGTTAAAGCACCAACACCACACTGTAAAGATGCTCAACCACAAGTAAAGGTCCTGCTTTCTAAACTGTCTCTAACCTACTTAAGTAAAAAATATCTGAGTATGGTAAGTAGTTTATTTTCATATATGATGTTATGATGTTTTGAATTGATATTACTGCTGCATTAATGTGTGCTGCATTTTACAGCTGTAGACATGTGTTATGTGTTGGTTTTAACTCGCTCATATACTCTTGGGTAGATTCATCTACAGCAATGCATCATATTCTTTCAGATATTTAAAGAATATGTTTGTTGCATCGCTGTCCTGTGAGAACCACGTATCTCTAAAGATTTAACTTTTCATGGTGTCAGAAGAACAGCCTCATTCTCAGCTTCATCATGCAGCATTTTCCAGCTGCTCCAAGAGGGTTTTTAAATATTTAGCTTCAGAAGTAGGAGAATTTTCCCAACATAGAAAGGAACATGTCATCCTTTAGTTTATCAGAACATTCCAGATCAACACATCTGGAGATAAATGGATTTCCCTGCACAGAAATAGAAACTGTATTTTGAAAAGTAACTGAAGCTGTAAAATAAATGTAGTAGATTTAAGAGTACAATATTTACATCTAAGATACTGTAGAGCAGAAATATGAAATTGCATGAAATGCAAGTACCTTGACTTTTTACTTGAGTAAATGCATTTAGTTACATACCACCACTGCCTACCTCACATCCAAAATATTTCTCAGACTGTTCTTGTGCAGTAACAGTACACATGCCTATCATATCTTACACTGAATATACTAAAGACAAGACATTCAAAGTAAGCCAGGCCAGTCCTTCAGCACTGCAGAATGTCAGAAAAAAGATACAGATGTCACATAAAAACAAAACAGTCCCTCTCAGCTCTTGAAAGTGGATTAAAAAGGATAGGGTAGGATTGTTGTTGAACTCACGTGCAGCAGCAGCACAGCAGCCAAGAAGGATTGTCCCTGGCAGTAGCCAATCTCCTCGTCATAAACAGAGTAAGCCTGAAGGAGAGCACAAAGGCAAACGGGCACACGGTTAATAAATAACTTTCACAGTCAATTCAAAAATTGATGGAGGGGGGAATAAATGATGATATGATCCTTTGCAAGTGAAGCCTGCAGCTGATTCAAACCAATATTTTTACAGGTACATTTAACAGTATTCAGGAGATTCTTCAACTTCTGTGATTTTTGTGTCCCTAACAGAAACAAGAAAAACAAACTACACCTCTTAGTTTTTATTTTTGTCACACTTAGTCGACACCAAAAGGAACAGACAAATTAAGTGATTAATGTGTCATCATTTTTATCATATAAAAAGGTGCCTTTTATGTGTTCATGTGGGTTTTCGCTATATTTCTTTAGTTCCTGAGCCAGATTGTGTCATTCAACCCTACTTGATTTGAAATTTTATATATATACATACATATATATATATATATATATATATCCCAGCTAACACTGGGCAAGAGGTGGGGTACACCCTGGACAGGTCACCAGACTATCACAGGGCTGACACACAGAGACAGACAACCATTCACACTCACATTCACACCTGCGGGCAATTTAGAGTCACCAGTTAACCTGCATGTCTTTGGACTGTGGGAGGAAGCCGGAGTACCCAGAGAAAACCCACACTGGCTACGGTAACATGATGGCTTCTCATTCGGAATGACATAAATCTGAATGAAATCATTCGGAATTAAAGTCTTTCCAGGTAGTTTACATGGGAAATATTCATTCAGAATGAGGGTTTACACAGGAGATCAGTTCAATCGCCTTTATTCAGGTCTGCGCAAGGTTTGGGGCAGGGAAGGTTTCTGATTGGATAGGGGGCGGGGCGGATGTTACGTATTTACGTTTACCGGAAGAAAACACTGTAGTCCTCGCTCCGGATAACAAGATGCTTGACGATGCCATTCTTAGTGCCTTTTTCGGGCGTGTTTTGCTTATATTCTTGAAGCAGCAGTACGACAACAACCTTGTTCTGCTAATGCTTTGTCTGTTGAGGAAGAGAAGAGAGGTAGAAGACAGTGCTGTGGCGAATGGAAACCGGTGAGTGCAACGAGTCCGACTGCTCTATCTCAGCCCGTTGCTATGCAGCCCGTTGCTATGCGCGCTATATACATCATCGCCCCAGAAGGGCAAGGAAATGAGCATGCGCAGAAAGACCGGAATGAACTTAAAGAGGAATGAGTGTATACATGCACACAAAATTCTTTCATTCGGAATGACAAACGGAATAAACCACCCCCTTTAATCGGATTTAATTTTCAATCGGAATGACCATTTTTCAATTGGAATGACCGTTTACATGACCACTTTTAATCGGAATGGCCTTTCATTCCGATTAAAAGTGGAATTAAACTGTCCATGTAAACGTACTGACTGACATGGGGAGAACAAACTCCACATAGAAGGGCTCCCCCACCACAGGTTCAAACAAGGAACCCTCTTTTTAAAGTAAGGATAAAAAGAGGTGATAAAGTAATGGTTGAGAATCAAACAGAGAAAGGATTAATAGTAAATAAATAGAGGGGGAAATATAAAGTAAGCTAGTATGATAATGCATAAACACACATGCATGGATAAACCTACATATCTGTCCATATTTACACCCGTACACAAATGTAGAAAAAAGAAAAGAAAGAAATTACTCTTTAAAACCCTTTAGGGCAGAGTCCTTCATCACTGTTTAAATATGATCCTCACATGTACTCCATTTATTCCACTATTTTAAAAATTCTTGCTCTTGATTTCTGATTCTACAGGTTATTCTTTCCATTTCTGAAATGCTGTTTACCTTTATCTTCCACTTATTAAATGATGATTGAGAGGGTTTTAACCAGTTCCTCATCATCTGTTTTCATGAATCAGAGCCTGTTTAATTCAGACATTTTTCATGTAATATTACCTTCCTCTTTGCCATGAAAAGCACACCTGTCCCTCTGGGTTACTGTCATTTCCACCTCACGCCACAAAATGCCAAAACAAAAGTCAAGGAGGTTGTTTCTTTTTGAGAGTTTGAATACTTTGTGACCACAGCAGTAGTCCTGTGACAGGACATCACTAAGGGAAAGTTAGCTCCATGAAGGGAACTGAAACAGGAAGAAATTGAGGTAAATTCTTTGTAAAATCAATAATGTGTTCATTGGCTGTCATTTCCGAACTGCTCATATTTCCTTTGAATGTACAATTATTAAGAAAAACACTTCTGACATAGTGCATTTCTTGTATATTTAATGCTAACACTAAAACTGACAACAGCAGGCCAATATATGATTTTTAAAAATGTGACAAACTATCATTCATACAACAGTCGATCCCATCTCCGTTTATTGTGATGGAAAAGACATACAGTAATGGAAATAACAATCTCAGTGTTTTGTAACTGAAAATATTGCATCAATACATTTCTCTGAATATGTGTTAGTTTCTCTAAAGTGTTCCAGACATAAATGGACCATCGTTGAAGAATGACCCATTTATGATTTCAACGCAGAATCAAATAATGCAATTTAATATGAAAGAGAGAAGAAGAGCCAAAGTCAAAACGTTGTGGGTAATTTCAACAAAAACACCAAAATATTTTTCTCTCAGGAGCTGGCAAACCGGCCCGGGGCAAGTTTAGTGTCCGTAAATACTGAACTTGTATTTGACAGGTAGTGAAAAAGATGGCTCAAGCTACACTGGAAGCTTTACGCTGCCTTAAATCAAACAGAATACAGAGAAGTAGAGTAATTACACACACACAAATACAGACTGACGTTGCAAACCACACGTCATATCAGTCAAATATAACTTGTATAAATATTTAGGTCATGAACTCAGAGCAGATTTGTTTGGCTACAGAGCACTTGAGTGATATTGTACAAGTCACTCAGAGTAATATCTGGTCATTTTTATTCCCTTTTTAGAAATCTAAAGTTGTTGAAGTTTGTATTCTGTATTCTATCAAACATACTTGGCTGTTTTGTGAAGGGCCTCATTACGGGGTTTAAAATAGCACTATAAGAGGACATAGATGAGTTAAGTGTCTGAAGTGAGGCACAAAAGAAGTAAAAATGACCATTAGACTGTATAAAAGTCAAACAGAGAGGAAAAGACAAAGAGAGGGGACGTGAAGGGTCGGAGAGAGATGCTGGCATCGAGGAAATGGCGCAAATGTGAGGGGAGGGAGCAAGAGAGAGTCATGGCCTACTGAGCTACAAACACAAATAATGAGAACAAGTCAAACGGACAAAGTGTGGATCAATCCACACACAGAGGAGAGGGTGGGCCCACTGAATTATTCAAACACACCTGAGGAGGTGCTTGTCTCGGAGAGAGATGGATGCCCTCACCTGAGTTATACATAATGAATGACACGAAAACAGCGAACAAACTGCAGCCAGGCCACTCGTGTGGGATTACAGAACTATATGGGCTGAAATGTGCCTCCACTGTATGTGCACGTGTTCATTCTCATGAGAAAGAAATGTGGCACTTCAAGATCAATACATATTTTGTGACAAGTTGCCAGGTTTGCGTACATGCGTGTGTGTGTGTGTGTGTGCTGTGCCGCTGTGTGAGGGTCAGCTGTGCAGCAGGACTGATTATAGCAGAGTCTAGTGTGTGTGAGTTTGTTCGATTGGAAACTTATGTTGCTTTTCTTGACAGGCACTGAACTCGCTGAACCACCCAGAAACAGAGTGGCTGTTCAGGTAATTAATGAACAGTTGCCTTTAGCGCCAACAACTCTCACTACTGCTCTACAGACTTTGTCATCAGACCTACTGTAAAGCAGGTCATTTATACAATGATGACACTGTATCAGAGAGAAACATGTGATTCCATTTCACATGCATATCGCTTTGATAGGCTCTAGCGATGAACATCAGAGCTTCCAAAAGACTAATTGTTTGTCTCCAATTACAGTTTTATAAGACGAAATCATCCACAGAAATAATATGATTATAAATGTGTGTCAGGGCCGCAGTATTCATAACAAATTCCTCCCGAAAAACACTTGTGACAGAGGCTGAATGTTATAAACTAATCCATGGCGGACGGGTTGTAGAAATTCCACCAAGTTTAGTTTTTATTTGTTGTTTGTTTCCATGTTTATCAATATTTTACAGATGTATTTTCAGGTGCATTTGTTGCAACTCCATGCAAATTAAAGGGCCTATCCCAGCTGTCATTGGGCGAGAGGTGAGGTGCACCCTGGACAGGTCTCCAGACTATCACAGGGCTGACACATAGAGACAGACAACCATTCATGCTCACATTCACACCTACGGACAATTTACATTTATATCACACCAGGAATAACCGGGGAACTCAGTTCGATTGGGCTGGGTATGCTGAAAAATTTCACACCTTCATTTGGTTCGGTTCACTTTCACACTGCACGTTTTAAAGTGTGCCTAACCACCTGGACAATGTCACGCAGTTACAACAGCAGAACAGAAACAGAAACAGAAAAAAGCAAGAGGAAGAAGAAAACCTGGCTCATTGACCGGCCAGGACAGAAAACGGAAATCCATCCACTTCAGCCAGCTTGGTCACCACAAAAACACCACACAAAAAAGTGCACTGCGCTCTACGTCACTTCGTCAATTTAGTTTGCTGGATAGTCCGTTTGCAATTCCCACTGTAAGCGAACCACACCAGGGTTCAATTGCAAGTGAACCAAGACCCCCAGTTTTCAAGCAGACCAGGGTTCACTCGTTTGGTCCACACCAGAGTTCGAATGAGCATTCACACCACTCCCAACAAACCAAAATATCCGTGGAAGCGGACAAGGGTTAGTTTAAAGCGGACGAAATAGCGCCAATGTGAATGCGTCATAGAGACAGACAACAATTCACGCTCACATTCACACCTACAGCCAATTTAGAGTCACCAATTAACCTGCATGTCTTTGGACTGTGGGAGGAAGCTGGAGTACCTGGAGAAAACCCACGCTGACACGAGGAGAACATGCAAACTCTGCACAGAAACCTTTTGCTGTGAGGTGCCAATGCTAACCACAGCACAAAACATAAATGTAACCAATAAATACATTTGATCAAATTTTAAATTTTAAAGTTTTTTGCTCCTGAAATCCATCCTGAATCCACCGTTCTGCTGGGATCAGGATAGTCCTGATTTTGGGATACAGAGATATCCAAATCCTACTAAAAAGTTTTTAACAACACATACTAACAGTTGGATCCAGATCACAACCAAGACTGAATATTGTGATCTACTCAGATTTCTCTTTCTTATTTTTCTTCTGGACAACCCATTTTCAAGATCCGATTTAATCTAATACCCGAATGTCAATCAGTTTGCTTCTCAACAACTGGGCCCAGATAAAGACAATACATGCTTGTTTCTGCAGTTGCTCTACAAGAGGTTTACAGCTCCTGTGGCTTATAAACAGCTGTAGCTGTTTGTGAAGCTTTGTCCACTGCGCTGATTCCTTTTAATTTGTCATGTTTGACTGGCTCCATAATGCCCTGTGTTGACTTTGAAAATTTAATTTAAACATCCTCTAGCATCGGTGTGTCTGTGTGTGTGTGTGTGTGTGTGTGTGTGTGTGTGTGTGTGTCCCACCTTGCAGATCTTGTAGAGGGAGTCTTGTCCATCTCCTCCAGTGTCTTTGAAGTAGTCATGAGCTGGGAATGTCCTGTTAATGTCCCTGGTGATGGCACTGTCCTGAGGGGACTCCTAATAATGAGACAAAGGAGAGCAGACAAAAAGATCAAGGTGAATAAAAGAAGAGTGGATGGTGTGTCACAGAGAGGGAGATTCATCCAGTAAAGAATCCACAAGAAGTTTTATTAGACAGCTGCTGGGAAAAAAATCCCTCGAGGTCCAGCAGCGGTCAGTGTTTCTCAGTGTGCAGTGCCAACACGCTGTTGAGATTTACAGTGCAGGTCAGGATGAATTACGGGTGGCACAGAGTGTTCTCTTCCACAGTACAGGCTGTGCATCTCTCCCTGTATCTCTATTAGTCTTATTCTGTCAATTTTAGCTCTAACGGTAATTCATTTAAAACCTGACAGGTAATTATTACGTTACTAAAGCTTAGATAAAGAGAACTAACAATAGTTACTAATAAAAAAGATCTGACAAACGGTGAAAAAGTAAAACTGACAACGACAAAGAAATCATGTAACACAAAGAGAGATTCATATTATCTATCACCAAGTTTTCACTGACACAAATAACATACTGACAATTCTCCCATCACCGGTCGTGGGACTAAAAAAGTCAAGCATTGCCTAAAATGGAGATACTTTGTGAAATATAATTTACTTATGACATACTGCACATAACTCTTTGCACTCGGTACTAAGAAAATCGCTGACACATTGCTCTCATGAGAGGAATATCAACAAGGAGGTCGTTTAGAAGAAAAATAACCAGAGACCGAAATACTGTATTGTATAACAGCAGGCTGATAAGAGGGTGCTTGGCTTTCATCGTCACACCTTCTACCAACAGCAATCTGAACTGTAACAGAGTGAATCAACAAGACATTTTGCCTGGAGAGTGTAATGGATGGATGATAAGGACAGAGTTGTTTGGAGGTGAGAATGAAAATGTATGCACCAGGAAAAAAAAAAAAAAAAAAATCACACAGGAAAAGAGCTATCAGCAACATAACATGAGGGATCAAGGGTGCTGTTTTGCTGTGCATGTGTACTTTTTCTTAAAAGCACAAACTGATATGATCCTATTTGGGCTAAGTGATACAAATCTATAATGAGAACTGGATACAGGGCCCTGTTTATTCCTATGAAAGTTCCCCACGAAGCCAACAAAGTTCATCTTCCTGGGTATAAAATTACCCGCATCTAGGGCTATTGTTGAGCCCATACAGTAAGTGCCCTATAGACTCTGCTGCTATTTTCCAGTTTAGCCCTCCTCTGACTTAAATGGGAATAAAATCGTTCAGTCTTGTGGCTCTTCTAGACCTTTGAAATGTTATCTGACTGAAAGGATCAAATCCCAATGGTGAAACAAGTTGATTTTTTTGTAGGGGTTGTGACAACTGATTTACAGATGTCTCTTTCCTAATGTAAGTCTAATGGAGAAAGTCCTGGCGTCACATGACGGACTTAGAAGTTGTAGTTACATGGTTTGTCCACACATCTTCCCACTGGCAGCACGGAAGATCTATACAGCCAGCATAGTTTCAAGGTGGACACCAAAGATTAGTGTCACCATTTCAGTATCTGACTAAATATCTCTTCTGTTACTGAAGTATGACGTTAACTAATGGCCAGAATTTATGCAGAATAATATAATGTCAGAGTGAAGTTGACCTTTGATCTTTTGGATATAAAATGCAATTACTACATCATTATATCTTTTTAGACATTTGTGTGAAGTTTTGTTATAATTACCATAAAATTTCTTGAGTTATGGCCAAAAACATTTTTTTTTTGTGTTACACTGACCTTGACCTTTAATCTTTGACCACCAAATTCTAATCAGTTCATTCTACAGTCCAAGTGAATGTTTGTGCCAAATTTAAAGAAATTCTCTCAACGTGTTTTTGAAAAATCAAGTTCACAAGAATGAGACAGACATGGTCACAGTGACATTGACCTTTGACCACCAAAATCTAATCAGTCCATCAGTGAGTCCAAGGGAACATTTGTGCCAAAGTTGAAGACATTCCCTGAAGGAGGGAGTTAATGAGATATTGTGTTCACGAGAACGAGACGAATGAAAGGTCACACTGACCTTGAACCTTGACCACCAAAAACTAGTCCATTCATTGTTGATTCCGAGGGGCCACATGCACCAAATGAGAAAAAAATCCCTCAAGGCATTCTTGAGATATCGACTTCACAAAAATGGGACACATGTACATCAAATATTATGTTTTCAGGTTCGGACAACCCGAAATATAATGCCTCTGGTTACAGCTATCATCAGTGCAGAGACATAAAAAAAAAGATAATGTGTCGACACAAGATCAGAAGAGATTGTTTACAGTAAAGAAACACCGATACAAGTACAGAGGCATGTCCATATTCCCAACTGCATACAATATATACACAAGCCCGGGGCAACATACTTCTCTGGGATATCCCTCCACTATGATGACAAAGCACAACACAGTAGAAATACCACATACCCACACACACAGCCACAGATCAGTAACTACTCTACTAACAAAGATTAATCACCCCTCATTTCATTATTGATGTCCAGTGTATTTGGAACAAACAGCTTGTAAATAAGTAATGCTACTCCAAGACACCCCGGCCATTACATGACAAATCAAACACACATTTAAACACATCTTCATATAGTGTTTGTAGGTGAAGTGGCTCTGAAGTTTGGACTGTATGTCATGTGATGTAATATGAAAATGGGGCATATATTTGATTTTGCAGGCAGAAATCCATTTTGGCAACCTTTGTAGACCGGTGCTGCAACCCTGCTTTTATATTATCAGTGAATAATGAGAAAGTCGGCAAGAGCAAAGGAGGGTTTCCATTCAATCAACAGCTAGTAATAATAATGCCTCACAAAGTTTGTGTTAAATGAGCGAGTTAATGTGATCCTCCATTGATCCGTGTAGTAACATTTTCCACTACATGTCAGAGAGCACTCCTTTAGTTTTTCAGCATCCTGTGCCTTGTTCAAAGGCACTTTAGTAGGACTGAAGCTTACCACCAGTTCTTGCAGGGGCTTAAAATCCCTACTATGAAAACCAAAGTGCATGTAAGTTAAAGCAGAAGTCCTTGAATTTAAATCACCAATATTTTTTTAAGTCTCTTGTTCTCTTTGTAGCTAATTATACCCTCTTGGTCTCTCTGTTACTGTACCCATCAAGTCCCTCCCACTCCTTTATTCAAGGTTTCTGCTCCAGCTCCCACAGAGGAAGACAGTGAAACAAAAATAATGTGAGTAAAAGAAGAAATGCAGGAAGAAAGGAGTACTAAAACAAAGTGAGCTAATGGGGATCAGAGGCCAACACCAGGAGGCTATTTTTTTTTTAAGTCCATTCCAAAACTTCCACCACACCCTGTAACTCATGGATGCTTAAGGAAGTTTGAGTAATGTTGATTGTTAAGAGTAATTTTGCTCAGAGAATGACCCATCCCTCAGTTGTTATACAGTTGGTGTTTACACAGTATTATACAAATGGTGCATTAATCTATTGGTCAATCAACAGAAAAATAATCAGAACTATTAATCTAACCAAAACATTGAAAATTGCTGCAATTTTTCTGGTTCCAGCTTCTCAAATTGGAGGATTTGCTGCTTCTCTTGGTCATTTATTACTGTAATCTGAGAACCTTTGGGTTTGGACTTTGGGAAGTTATAATTTGCATTTTTTCCACTATTCTTTGACATTTTATAGATCAAATGATTAATCAATTAATCAAAAAGCCATTGGTAGATTAGGGGCTCATCACAAAGAATATCAGTAAAGTTCAACCGGGGTGAACTTAAGGCTCTGATAAGGTGCACACAGGTGCTCCAGAAGGCTTGATCTAGAAATTGGTATTGATGCATTTCAGAGTGCAGGGGTGGCATTAGTGTGACCAGTGTGAAGAGCCCATTACACTGGGCTACAGTCTCTCAGTGAATGATAAGGATCCATGTTTATACAAGCACCACTTAGCCATACTTATCTGAAGTGCTGAGAGCATGTACAAAGACCTCTGACATAATGGCCAATTAGCTTCCTCTCTGTCTGTGTGTCTATTCAGTTAAAGCGAGGTTTGGAATGAGGGTAGCGTGAGAGGGGAGAGAAAACATATCCAGTGTCTCATGGTAGTGCACGGAAGTGTGCGAGCGAGTTCAAGCCATTGAGAGAAAGACAAATAGAAGAGAGAGATAATGCTAAGGATACTGTATCTCTATGGAAATGTATGTATAAAAAGACAGTAAAGGACAAAATGTATTTAAATATGAATTTAATATTATGGCTTTGAGAGATACTTAAAAACTCAACCCATGTAGGCTTTGAATGTGGCTATAAAGGGTAGGCTGTAGCTGGTCACCTTGGACTGAGTCGGTTACAACTAGGGCTGCCCCCTAATAGTCAACCAAACATTAGTCGACCAGAAAGGTCATTCGTCGGCAAGATTTCAGTGGTCGCTTAGTCACAGAAAAAAAAAAAAAAAAAAAAAAAAAAAATCAACAAACAAACATGAAACTCAATGAGGAGCTGCGCCTTGTCAAAATAGATCAAAGTCTATATGACCGGATCATGTGGGAATTTAATTTGAAAGGACAGACACAGGAAGTGGCCACGCTCAGCAGTCAGACAGAAGTCACGTTAATTTCCAGGGCCGGTACCTGCGGTTATTCCACAGGCTAGTAAATAACATGTCGGGCAGGAAATCCAAAGTGTGGGATCATTTTGAGAAGGTGAAGGACGAACCCAACGTGATATGTAAACTCATCTTCATTGGTCGACTACAAACATGAAGTATCATCTGAAACATGGAAGTAGCTACATGTCCGTTAGCCACTTAGCACAATCATTACTGCTTTGTTGACAGCGTCATTAACAGGGGCTAAATTAATATCATAAATATGCGAATGACTAGTCAACTAGTGGCCCTAAATGACAACTATTGGTCAACTAGGAAAATACTTAGTAGGGGGCAGCCCTAGTTACAATGCACTCTGAAATCTCTTTTGCGGCATAATGGACCTTTGCCCTTAAAAAGATATTTAATAAAAATATC